TTTTTTAAAGGTTGGATCGCTCGTTTCGGCGTGCCCACCATCGTGACGACCGACCAGGGTCGTCAATTCGAGTCGTCTCTTTTTCAGACCCTCATGCAGATGTGTGGCAGCAAACGCGTTCGCACCACAAGTTACCACCCGTGCGCGAACGGCCTCGTCGAACGCATGCACAGGCAACTTAAAGCCACTTTGATGTGCCACGAGGAAACATGGCACAAGTCGCTGCCTGTGGTCCTACTCGGCATGCGCGCAGCTCTCAAAGAGGACCTGCAATACTCACCGGCCCAGCTTGTTTACGGGGAACCCCTGCGCTTGCCCGGTGAACTCATTGCCCCTTCTCCAGCTCCAGATCGCGTCGAGGACTTAACCAACTTCGCCACTCAACTCCGCCTGCAGATGGCACGACTGAGGCAAACACCTGCCTCTCGCCATGGTCAGCAGCCAGTCTTCGTTTCGAAGGACCTCTTGACTGCTACACACGTCTTCTTGAGAGATGACACAGTCAGACCTTCCCTCAAGCCGCCCTACAGTGGACCTCATAAGGTAGTGTCTAGAACGGAGAAGACAATAACGATCACTGTCGGTGACAGAAACACGCAAGTGAGTCTTGACCGTGTAAAACCGGCATACATCGTAGACAATTCAGTACCGTCAGCACCCAGAGCAACTGCAAACTCACCTGCTTTGCCTACTCCAGCTGCAACTCCAGTTGTCCCAGCTGCGCCTCCTGCTTGTATTAAGCACTCCTCACCACCTCCTTACACTACTCGCTCAGGTCGTAGCGTCCATTTTAAAGACCGTTTGAACCTGTAATTTACTTTAAATTATCATTCTCATAATTAGATTATAAGCATGTTGTTTTTTTTTTTCTTTTTTATATTTAGGTTAAGAATTTATTGCATGTTTAGTTTTTATTTTTTTGGATGGGCTAATTTTCTGCCTAGGGGGGTGATGTGGCGGATGAAAACAACCGCCGCGTCTATTTTAAATTTAGCGCGCAAAAGCGCGCGACTCGCGGTTTACAAACGAGTCGCCTCTGATTGGTCGGCGACCGGGGAGTTACCTCTGCCTCGAGACTCGCCGCTGAGAACACAACGGTCGACTTGTCTCTGTTAACAATAACATTATTTTAAGGGTGAAAATATTGTGAACACATCTAAAGTTCTTCTGATGTAATACAATTAACAGTGAGCACATTTGTGAGTTTTATTTAATGGCATTCCGCACATTTCATGCCATAGGTACATTTCCCAGACTACTATCGCCCGTAGACACGGTCTCTGGAAGGGAGTGATGTGGCGACTCACATATTTATAATATATTTACATATTTTATATATTTACAAAACATTCAACTTATTACCTTATTTATAATATTTTATATTTTACTTTCTTGTATTTATATCTGCATAAATATCATTGCATAGTTTATATTATATAATTACTTATATTACACACAATATATATTTGTTTATAGTATTTTATATAATACGGAACGCGCCCGCTGGCTGTCCGTTACATACAGGATTTAAATATTTGAAATAATTAACGGGCCGGCCAGCAGCGCCGACGCATCGCTCCACCAGTCGCCATGCTATGGCAACTTAGAACTACTGCAAGAAAATTTCGGAACATCGCAATCTCGGAAACAAATGAAATACTAAAATACATAGTGCTGCCACTATAAAATATAGTAATAAATCCTATGGAGATTTTACACATTAAATTAATATATAGTAATGTTTTTTGAGAATCAAAGAACAAAAAAAAAAAAAAGATATATTTAAATAAATATTTATTTTCGTCTACTTCATTTCTTATTTTAAAGCAAATTTAGGCAACTTTTTGTTTATAAAACGTTTTAAATGCGGGGTGGTTGCTCTGTTTGATATGGCAGCATCACTTGAAAAATTAATGACAATTATTCATGTGGACAAGACAGTGTTTTACAAAAGGTTTTTAAATGTGAAAATGTAGACAATAGTAAAATGGTGGATTGTCTTAGTAGAAACAACGGTAAAATTTCAGCAGCCCACTACTTTTATATAGCACACAAAATAAAAAACGATAGAGAACTATAGAGACATAACACTTACGAATTAATCAACAAGTAGAATTCGGTAGTCACCTCTAGTTTTCAAGAAAAAACATAATTAAATATTGTTGTTTCGGTAATGTTTTCTAACATTACCACGATAGCTAATATCGGCTTAATTACAATCTTAAATCTTAAATCTCATTTTATTATCAATGCTTATGTACATTCTAAACTTTAGAATTTTTATATTTAATTACGTTATTCAGTAAATAGGATAGAATGATATTTGATAATTATAAAACTAGATTCTTAAGTCTATGTATCACCAAAGTGACACACATATGTTGTTTCATTAGCATAGATTCTAGATCTATCTGACCAAATCCTAAGACCGAAAAGAGAACTAGAAGAACGAACTAGTTCACTGTCCAAAATGAACTTGTTCAAAGCGCTCTTCTAAAGAACCGAGCAGGCACAAGACTACTGCTGTTTAGTGTTACTCTAAAGCTAACGTGATTAGCGTAAATATTTCCCATAGAACAGGTACCGGTGTAACGGGGGATAATTATAATTTTAATAGTGTACATATTGAGAGTTATTAAGATTTACAACCATGAAAGCAACAAACAAGAAATCTGTTTAAAGAATCAGTTCGGAGCAAAAACTGTTTAACTGAGAACGATATTAAACCTAACCTCTAAAGTTGGCTTCATAAATTTTTAAGATATATTCACTTTTATTTTTTCTAAATTTCTTTGAAATTTAGAAAATGAATGAACAATTTTAACCGAATACCATACATAATTAATTTATTTAGAGAATAATTAATAGAAAAGTCCTCGGAACTTATATCGCGTTTCAAGTTGCGATAAACGGTCTTTTTTACACAGATATCTTCTGTATTATCTATTATTTCGTGAGCGCATGAGGTTTTGGCTTGCTATTATTATACATATTCACAGAGAATGAGCAGCCGCAAGAAGAAATATATCGACTCGAAACTAATGGTCGTGTGGAGGAGTTTTCAAGGAAAGCAAGTAAGAATAATAAGGATGTTAAAATTTAGTAAACGGTGTGCTAATAAGTTTGGATTAACTTAAAAGTCCCATTAAAGTGCCGAGCTACCGTTATTGGGAGTTTTCGGACTATTGTTAAATGGGATCTAGGCAATCTTCCACCAATCATATTTAACAACTTTACCATTCCTAGCAGCCAGAATGTAAAAACTCTTGGTATGCAAATTGACATGTCTGAGCTGTAAAGAGTAAAGACCGAATCAAAGTGTCAGAGAGCCACAAGTGTTGTACGGCGTCTGTACAGAGTTCTCAACTTTACAGGAACTGTTATTTAAGTTTGTTCGTAACAGGTACAGTCTGTTATTTTGAGATATCCGTTATATTTACTTTACCTGTTGCAATAAATACGCCTCACTCCTAGTTCTCACCATTCTGATTTCATGCACTCATCTTTCTTTGACCAATATATTGTTCTGTGGAATGCACTAGGTACCTTTCGAAATCAGGATGTCAAAGAGCCGGTTTCAACATTCAATCTACAAATGGATTTGGTTACTAGATATATAGAATTTTAACGTAAGTATTATGGAGCCATCAGGCAATGTCAAATACCTATCGCTAGTTACCAAATCTATCTGTAGAAGGAATATTGAAACCAGCCTGTCTCTTCACATAAAAAAGGAAAAACTCGCGAGTACCATTAAAGAAATTGTCGACAGATTCACCGGATCGTTAATCAGATAAGTACCGTATATTATATAATTATGTATTTAAATATGTTTTTTTATTGCATGGTAATCTTTTTTTATGCAAAAATATGTCAAGCGGACGGGCTGTTCATCACCTGTTATTAAATGAATACCGCCACCCATGGACGCCTAAAACACCCGCTGCCTTGCTGATGTGTTGACAAAAATGTGGTTCACTCACTAGATGAAAAGAGAAAGTTAACACTTCCACTTCGGTCTTCTTTGAGGCCGTGGTACTTCTCCGGACGAGTCTGCCCATTCGCGCATATAAATATTGCAATTTATAGATTTTTTAATAGACTAGTATAGTATTTTGTTATTTAATTCCTTAACTGTATTTTTCCATGATTCATCTTTTTTTTTTTTTCATTTTATTATCAATGCTAAATGCATAATTATAAAATGTAATTAAAGTTCTCTGGAACACTAAAAGGTTGATTGGCAGATAGGACTGATGGTATAAGTCTGCCTTTGTACATATTGTGTGCAGAATAAAAAATAAAACAAGTTTTGAACTGATTGTCTTTAGAGTAGACACTGACAATGTTTTGGTGGTGGATGCAAGTTGCAGTGTGGTTCTAATGGAGGCCTATGTTCAACAGTAGATGTCATACGGCTGCTGATTATGATGTTCACGGTGCATATTGAACACTGTTGTACGGTTGAGTAAATTCAGGGAAAAGTTAAACATAAGGAAATTAAGTGTTTAAATAACTAATTTTATGCCTCTTTATTGTAATTAATAATAAATTGGGTTCATTTCAAACGTATTAAAAGAAACCATTACTGTTTATAGCACTAGTATTAACACTAATAATTAATATGTAAACGATCAGTAAACAGTGCTGAAACTAGTTCTGTATCAATGTGCGCTGATATTTTTTTCCTAAGAGTGCGAATTTCCGTTCTTGTTTGTCAAAGCATAAAACAAACATCATGTTTTATGTGAATTTTAAGATTTATTTTACAATAATTCTACACCAATAGATAATTAAGCATAGATAAGAAATACAAAATAATTTCCTATTATCTTACCAAATACTTTACGTGTCAGGATTTTTTGAAACTTGTCAACTATGAATATAGCATTGGATAAAAATTATGTCTAAATTCTTAAATTATACAACTTCCGTGAATTTCGTTAACTATATTTTAAACTCAAATTATTGCTTGTTTCCATTAGAAAGTTACAACATTAAGCAGTAGTATTTACTTCAGATATATTTTTTTCTTTAGCATTATCTGCTGCCTTGGCATCACTTTCTTCACCATCTGCGCTTTTTGATTTCTTGTCACTTTTTCGGAACTTATCATACCTGTGAAGTTTTACATGTTAATTGGATACACAGCAACATATTAATACTACTTAACTTTTATAGATATCACAAATATGGATTTGTATATACCTGCTTAGCATGAATGTCTATGGAATATCTGTGTAGGTTACATCAATGTCATGATAAGTTTTATTTTAATAATTTAAATATGTTAAGTGCTCTTAATATAAAAAAAAGCAACAGTTTAGTTCAGTATTAAGTGACGGAACAAAACAAAGAATAGTTTTATAATTATTGTGAATGGAGTTTTTATAAATAGTTTCTGATGTAAGACACCTCAATTATTTTAAAATATATGTGCAACATGATTTTTTTTGGATAATAAAGATCGAGGTTACCATCATTGAGAACAATTTTTGAAGGCAACTATATTAAGAATAAAACAAGATGGATTTCACCAATTTTTTTTATGTTATAATTTGTGTACACAAACATTTATATTAACATTTATTGACAATTTTAACACCACAAAATATTGGGTCCAATTTTAGTGCATGGCATGGATTAAATAGTACTTTATGCAACCTACCGTCCAAGGTCTTCGTCATCATCACTGCCTTCATTTCCTTGGGGGTCTACTTCCCTCAGTAACTCTCCTATGTCTTTATCAACATCAGCCCACAGTTTATCTTCACTGCCTAAAATATTGGTAGCAATAAATCATTATAAATAATTATTGTCATTCATAAAAATATGTAATCCAAGTGAAATATTTAACACTTCTTACCAGAGGCATTAACTAATTCTGAACCATTTTCCAAATTCTTCTTGTCAGTGCCAAGGTCCTGTTTTTCATTTTTTACTTTGCCATCAGAGTTTTCTTCACCTGCCTCAGCTTTTGCATCTTCTGCAAAACAAGGTGTGTGAGTATTTTTTTAAGATATTCAGCAATGTACTTGTATTTACTGACCAGATTACAATAATAAGGCTGATAAAATCCATTTCTCTATTAGTTTCTCATACGGATGTGACAGACATTGAGAGAACAAAATCGATTTTTCTCCTTTTTATATTAATCGATTTTGTAAAAAAAAATTATCAAAAGGAATAATAATTCGATTATTTATTTATTCGAGTATAAAAAATAACATAAAACGCCAACTTTCAGATTTCATAACAAAAATACAAAGTAACTGTTTCTTAAATTTTAAACTTTGAACAATAAAAAAAAAATAATAAATTTGCCATAAATATTCAATCCCATTTAACATTTTATTTGACTCAAATCTGTTAAAAAGTTACGAACTGGTTTACATAAAGAGGATAATTAAGGATAACTAAGGATTTATAGAGGATAGACGACGGACATAATAACATAGCATATGCAGAAATTTATTCTAAATATGAATTTGGTACGAACTTGTGACCTCAATTTTTTTTTGTTCAAAGAATATTTTTTATTTATTTCAAACATTATGGACACCCTATTAGACTTTCCTGCCTTACCGTCTTAATACAATAACCTATTCACGAGCACTAAAACTTTTCGCTGAACGCATAATTACTAAACCGCTTATCAATAGGGTCACCACTATTAAGGGGATAAACAATGTTGGAATTGATATTTTTCTGGTTATTTCTTGTCAAAATAAAATATGATTTTTTTTGAATTATGAAATGCTCAATTAACATCATGTCAAAGTATACACTTCGTCTAAAATATCATCCTGTATACATACAGATGGCTGTTTACAAAAATCGTTTAACCTTCAAGAGGGCGCGCGGTGTCGAATGGACCGCACTAAGCACATTTTCGTTAATAATATCATTTATATTAATAATAATATCAATCATTTATATAAAATAATAATATCAATTATTATTATTATTTGTCACAAGCATTTCTAGTCCCTAGTCTCATATTGTCACTGTGTGCGAAATAAACATTTTACCTATGACCTCCGCGCTGTCCCCACCGCGTAGGAAGCTATTGTTTTAAGGCCCGCGCAGGCGTCGAACGCACACCACGCCCCTGTCGTCGAAAAGGTTACGCGCGACGTTTAACCCGATCTATTACTTCATCGGCTGTCAACCAATTTTATTGAAATAATTTTGTAACTCTGTTTATTTTTATAAAATGAGTCGTCGCCCGCTAACACAAAGTGCATGCATACAAATAGAAGATGAAGAACTGAATCTGAATGAATTAGGGACCGAGGTTGAGAAACTACCGACAACATCGTTTCAGAGGAAACTCAATCCTTTGAGGAATCGAGCAGCTTGGATTCAATGAGAATTTTTCTCTTTCAGAAGTAAACTGGTTTTATGGGCCGTGATAAGAAAAAAAATGGCAAAAAAAAAAAACCGGATGAGGCGCCAAGATCCAAACATTCTGACTGAAAACTCAGGTACTCGTGTAAATGGGGTGGGGGTGACAATATTTATACAGGCCTGGAATTATTTCATTATGGAAAACATTGTTGAAAAATTTGTTAAAAGTTCCTAAATGGCTGTTTCATCCCAAGAATGTTTGAGTTAGATTATTTGATTTTATAATTGTTTTTATCTGATGTTACATTGATTTTTTGTATTATTCGAGTTTAAACATAACGATAATGATTCCGAGTAAAAATAAAGAAATAATTATTGATTATTTTATTCTTTTGATATATCCCATAGGTCTTTACGATTATGCGCGACCGCTGCCGTTACAAACAACCGCGCGCCTGCTTGAAGGTTAAAAAGTGAAATTGATATAATCGTTTTTAAAAGTCGATTATAAATAAAAAATAATAGATTATTTTTTCAAATTCCTAGTTTCTCAATATGATTAACCTTTTTGCTGGTGTAGTTGACGGTGGATGCGTTCGGCGTGGCGGCGCAGAGTACGCGTGTCGCGATGCTGCACGTAACGACCAAGGTGGATGCGCAGGCGGCAATGACGCCGCAGCGCCTCCGCCTCCTCAGTCCCGCCAGCTTCCGTGCGGGGCAGATACACGCGGCAAAGTTCGCACCACCACACCTTAAATAAACAAGCAGTTACTCATAACTCGAAAAGAAGTCCAACATGATGTTGATGACCATATGGCACAGTAGCAAATGTATAGACATATAAGACAACTATGTCTGTAACCCAAAGATATCTGTTTCTGATTTTGGTGTTTGTCAATGAGAAATTTATGTTTGTAAAACATCCTTCCAGCCCAGGGCAATGTTATGATACAGGACGGGGGATGTTTTCGATAGGAAGACTACAATAGATCTTCTAGGTTGCAGTGGGCATTGAGAAATACTATCCAACCCCTTCCACACAAAATACAAATACAACAACATAATACATCACTATAAAAAAGTCAAATGATTTTTATTCCATAGACTAGCTGGCAATTATGTATTAGAACTGAACATGCTGGCATGTATGTGGTATTATTATAAGCTTTGATAAGATTTACTTATTCATTTTACGATTTTTATATATGTCTTATTCATATAAAAAATAAATTTTCTTGTAATTTTTAAACTAACGATACTATTCACAGGTTGTGAAACAGTTTGTGTATATCATATAGGCTTATAAAATAATGTCTTTTGAATTAAAACTCAATAATTAAAGTATCATCAAATTAATCTTGTGAAATTACTAACCTCCATTTTTTTAATATGTTCACTTCCTATATTAATTTCAACTTTTGCTTTCTTCGGAGAAGAATCATCCTTTTTCTCACCACCAGAATCATCATCTTCTACTTCTATAAAACATTGTGTATTTATTAGTTAATTTTACATGGACTTAAAAAATTAAAAGTTGTTAAGGAACACTTATTATACTGACCATCAACATCACCTACTGAGTCTAAAGTCATAAAGTTGTCCAAATCAACATCCATGCCCTCATCACCACTGGCTTCAGCTTTAGGACTTGCTCGCTGAGCACTTTGATTAGCTTTTCTCTAAAAGAGATTTATAGTACTATGAAAACATTTATCATTATTGGCTATGATTCATGCATTTAAAAAAAAATCAAGCTACCTTCAGATGTTCAAGGGAACAAATATGATGCTCATAGATCATAGGTGACCGGAACTTTATACGACAAATGCGACAAAACGGCATCAAAAAGCGTTTCATCGCGCGATGAGTATCGGTGAGATTGTGCGAGTGGCTTGTAGTCCGATGGTTCAGACGGCACACCATGCAGAATGTGGTCCTTGCGGCCAGCTCGGCGCCAGCGGCTGCCTCGAGTTCACGTTGAGCTCCGCGCTGAGCCACGCGCATGCGCAATAGCTGCACTTTGTGGCGACGCGCCACTGCACTCATTGCTGCGCGATGCTTACCGGATAACAAGTGCTTGGCATAGCCCTGTACAAAATAAATTTTCTATTTTATTTAAATAGAATATAGGTATATTTCAAGCCTTGGTCATCATAGTAATTATGTATACATAATCAGCATACAGTAGAACCTCAGTAAGTTAACCTTAATAACGTAAAAACTTTTCCCTTCCCCTTACAGTGCAAAACTAACTTAAAATATGAATACTCAACTCCTTTAAGGAACAATGGAATAAATGGGGCATTGCAATTTTAAAAAAATGTTTAAACAACCACAATACTGATTGAAAAATGGCCAATTTTTAGAGTGTATAAAATGATAATTAATCAAATTAACTTTTTATTTTATTATTTGTTAGAAACGTATCCTTAGCTAAATTAGCTTTTAGTTTTTCTTGAAGAACCATAGATTTGTTTATCGTGACAAAATAAAAGTTGCCTATAAATGAGTTCTAAACGAAAATTTACTTCTATGCTGCACATATTATGAGTGAGATAGCCTGAGCCCACTTTATTAAAAAGTATAAATATTTTTTGTTATTACTTTCTATAGGTTTCCTCACGACATTTTCCTTCATCCCATATAATAAGTCTTATCTATTTTATAAATCTTATTTAATTTAACAATTTCAAAAGTGTCGACACCGCGGATTGAACTCTGGTTGCTTAAAATTGTTGAATTAAAAACAGGCACCCAGACAATGAACTATTATCCTTCTATCTATATACAGTGTGTCGTTACAACCGCGACAATAAATTAACACACAGATAGAGGATAACTTTTTAAAATTGTACTAAACATTCACATTCTTTAAATATCAATATTCACAGAGTTATTAAATTTTCCAAAACAAACAATTTTAGAACACCCTTATGTATGTAATTGTAACATTAAGTTCATTTGTAAAGGTCACAAAGCACATGAATGGGTTGTATGAATTTAAGAGATAAACATAAAGAATAAAGATAGGAGACTTGTAAAGCCTAGCCTAGAGACATGTTGATGCTAGTAATGCGGCGCTGTGGCCACAAATGAAATAGTTTCTGAATATATGAATCAGTCAGTTGTAGCTGTATAGGAGGTTGTTACAAATTTTGTTTTTTTTTTATTTAATTAATTTGCTTTTTTTTTAATTTTGTATTTGTTTATGATTATTGGCAAGTAGCGTTAGACGTGTGTTCATTTATTTTCGCGGTTGTAACGAGACGCTGTATAATAATTCCTATAAAGCAAATAAATAAGCCTCAATAAGTATAAATCCTCAAAATTTTAATACCAGGCTTAAGCCCTTAGTACAGTGATTCTCAACCACTGTGCCGCGGCACTTTTGTGTGCCGCCAAATTTTGCAATTATATAATAATGTTAATATTATTAAATTATATCATTTAAAAAGAAAACTATTTTCTGGCATTAGCCAACATTAAAACTAAAAAAAGATCAAGATTGTTAAATGTAGAAGACGATATGAGAGTAGCATTGTCATTTTTACGACCAAGTATAAATGAAATTATCAAAAAACATCAAGCTCAAATTTCGAATTAAAAATATTTTTATTATTAGCTTGTAATTAATCCCTTAATAAACGTTTAGTTATTATTGTAGTATATATTAGTTTATTTCGTATATTTAAAATTTTTGTCATAAACTATTTATGCAGTGTGTTGTAGTAATTAAATAATTTTTATCTTCTTCTTTGTGTGCCGCCAAATTTTGAAATCGTTAAATATGTGCCGCAACAAAAAAAAGGTTGAGAATCACTGCCTTAGTAGATAAAAACTAAATAACTTTAACTCAAATTGTAACATTACTCTTGTTCGTATCTTTCCAAGGTTCTACTAAATTTAATTCTGAACATTACTTACAACAAAAGTAGCACATTTTTCTTTACAATGAACACATGCAAGATGCACATAGCGTCTTGGATTAGGTGCTTCTCCATCTGATGCAGCATCAGGCTCTTTATCAGTATCTTCACCACCATCACCCACTTCTCCCTCAGAAGCTTCAGCTTCTACCTGATCACAAAATTAGATTTAATGTTTATAATATGATCATGTTATGTTAAATAAGTAAATAGGATAATGCTTAATTGTTTACTTTTGGTGATCTACCTGATCACAAAATTAGATTTAATGTTTATAATATGATCATGTTATGTTAAATAAGTAAATAGGATAATGCTTAATTGTTTACTTTTGGTGATTTAATTTTCGGTTCCTTCTTCTCTTCAATTGCTTCATCCTCTTCTTTTTCATCAGCATCCCAATCTTCTTCAGTAGAAGATGCGTCTTCTTTCGATTTGATGGAGCTATTATAGACACAAGTTTCAAGAAGTGTTATGAAAACAATTTAAAGTAACAAAAACTAAACTGACATTTCTCTATTCGATTTTAAGGAGTTCCTAGATTTAGCTACAATGTCCAATACCAATAATGAAGTTAATATGGGAGCTAAACCAAATGAAATGCAAAACAATTTTTAAAATCAGTTCATGTCAAAGTTCTAGACTAACAAACTTGATAAAACATACAACAAAATTGTAAACCTCCTCCATTTTGAAGTCAGTTGTAAAATAAATTATAACTCTCAGATTTAGAAATTTACTTTGGGAATTTCCATTACTTAAATGAGTTTGTTCATTACAAACCAACTAGCAACTAACAGTTAATTAAAAAATTTTGATTTTGAGAACATATGTTCACTTTATAAATTAAATATTATGGGAATATTTATTTAGTGTCTTTTTTGACATATTTATGGTAACATATAAGTAATGAAATAGTGTCATATAAAGTGTTTTAAAAATGGTTTGTTGTTCTGCTGGCAACTTATGCAGTGACAACACACAAAATAATTAATTTTGATACATTCAGACTTTTAAATTTAACCAAACTATTATTACCAAGCATCTTTGTTTTTGTGTCCACTTCCTTTTCATAAAATTTGGTAATGAAATATTTTCCATTGTATGCCATGTTTTATTGTGAGGTGAAAGAAAGTGCCTTGTAACAGACAAAATGGAAAAATGCATCAGCTGCGTCAACAAGAGCCTTGTTCAACAGCCTTGCCTGAACAACATGCCAAGCTATTTTATGTAGTAGCAGACAACGTCAATGAATGATTCTATGATTTTATACCCATACTGATTTAACATGTCCCAGTCATGATATTTACACTCATTTTCAATAGTTCTTCCATTGCCAATATTTTAATGATGTACAGATTTATTTAAACATTGAATTCTAAATGTAGCATCAGCATAGGTATTCATAAATTCTATATAAATCTCTCTGAAATAGAAAGTCTGACCCTTAAGTAATATCTTTAACTTTGCCTCTTAACATGGTTTTATTCTTAATTATATTTTTTTAAATTAAACCTGTAATAATATTAAGATCTGACTTTTGCATCTTAGCAAAATTAAGTGTGAACATATGGTTGGGTAAAATTTAAAATCTATATCGATCTATACTCATTGAGATATTGTTTCTTTTAATCTGTCTTATTTCCAGTTGAATTCAATTTGTGCTAACATTTAACGATACATTTTCATTTTGATGTTAGTTAAACTGATCTCCTCAGGTTGACACAATTTCCCATAGCCCATTCAATCTCCTGTCTTCAAACGCACTAAACTAAGTGTAAACATTACTCGACTGAGTGAATTACCTTCGGCTCTTCATTGGTCTGAATGCGCGGGGGTAACCGAGCGAGCGTTCGCCGAAGCGCCTAGAGATAAAGGTGCCACGAGAGCGCGGCGCACCGCGATAGGAGGCGCGCGTGCGGAGTGTCCGGCCACGGAACGACCTGCGGGGCGCTCGGGGTCGCACTGACACACGAGACGGCTCCCGCGGCGGGCCCATGCCGCTCGGCTTGCGGTATCCATCTCTGTTTGGGGAGCGTCTTCTATCGTCCCCACCAAACGACCTTCTTTCGCCGCTATAGCTCTCTTGTCTACCGCTGTACGATCCGCCATAGTGGCCGCCGCCATCATGGCTACGTCTATCGTTCGAGGAGCCCTGGACATAACTCTTTTTGGTTTCTCAATAATGCGTTACAAAGTGCACAAAAAGGTAATAAATACACAAATGCAGACTTCTTCTCGAGTTTTAGAGCCAAATTTATGTGACTTCACAAGAGTGATGATCATTTTGTTTATTCAGAATCTTATTTTCCCAATTTGTATAATAATGTACCATTAACTAAATACAAATATTTGTAGGTTGTACCATTTGTAACTTTTAAAAACGATTTATATATCCAAGTTCGATCACCATGACACTTATACAATAACCATCTTTACCTTATTAAAAAAAGACATATATATATTCTCTCTAATATATAATTCACAGAATTAAATCTGTTAACTTATTTTCTGCATCCAAAAGATGAATGTAATCTCTTATCATAAGCATTAGTGAATTGATATCAATGATCGATTTGCACTGTTGACTCTCTGTTAATCAACAAATTGAGTTTAACCGTATTGATACAATTGTATTCATATCATTTTCATAACCAGATAAGACCGTTATATTATTATGTTTTAGTATATACAAATTCCTGTAATTTCAAATACATTTCCATAATCACATTCACCTCTATTTTCCATTGAAATATTATGATTGTATGGTCCAAGTCCATTTATGGTCATTTTCTGGTAAGTATTAATTATTCACATATTCCATGGAAATCTGATGTATTCGTTGGTTCATTCTGTTAACTTCATTAATGCAATCATGGCGACTGATTGATGCTGATTAAACTATAGACCTATTAATGAATAAACTTACCTCCATCCTCATTCTTTTCCGATCAGGTGAACCTGAGCGACCATAGTCACGAGTTCCATAGTTTGCTGAAGCATCCTTTAAAAGTATATTGTTAACAAATTTATGTAAATAAATATAAACAATTTAATTTCATATCATTATAAAATATTCTACATTTCCTTACCGATCTATAAGGCTTTTTATATGAATCATCAATTCTGTCACGACTCGTGGAGTATCTATTTGAATTGCTACTATTGTAGCGGGACTCATTATTATATGACGAGTAACCACCACCTCTGCCTCCACGTCCGCCATCATAAGATCCACGGCTACTACCGCCACGATAAGATCCTCTGTATCCAATACCTCTACTGTTATAACTACCCCTCCCACTGTAACCACCGTATATTCTGCCACGTGATGACATCTCTGTAAAAATAAAAGAATATATTGTGTATAATGTTAAAAAACGGAAACTAAGTCTACAGATATCTTTGAGGCATCCACAAAAGACTTCTTTACGAACCATAAACATTGTTTGGAAGTAACGGCCCAAAACTTCATAAATATACAAATGACGTCATAACATGCATACACTTTGAAGCTTTTTGGGTAAAGGTGCAGATCCGCAACACAGGTTTTTTTGTTATAAATATTTTTACAACAAAAACATACCACTTACATTAATTATAAAACCAAAATCTACAGACTATTCCAATTATTAAATGTTACAATTGATAATATTTAATAATTGGTATTAAATAAAAAATAATATTCATTGTAAAATTGCATCTTTTACAATGAATATTATTGCATCTAGCAATTTTACAAAGAAAACAATTTTTATTACTTTTCCTTATCGTATCTTACCTTACGTATCGATTTTTTTTATAATTTAATGAAGTAGATTCCACACCAAGCAATCCGACACGGATTGGTATTGTGATTAGGTCGGAAAGGCTTAGCATTCGTGGTTATTTTTTCATAACCACCCAGAAATATGAGCCCCACGTAGCGGTATAAGATTTAATATTTATTTTTATGATAAGTAGGCAATATCGTAGAATTTTACTCTTAACATCTAATTACCACTACGTTTTTATATCTTTCGAAATATTTTTATGAAAAAAAAAAAAACTGAGTCGCTGATCTGCACCTTGTTCTAATAAAATTGTAAATAATTGACTTGTCTATCCGCATGTCTGAAATGATACAAACTAAAGTATTTTTAGAGGTTAGTTTGAAACGAATGTAATATTAATAACATTTTTTTCGACATCCTACCTAAAAGCTAAAACAGATTTGAAAATAGATTTGTAGTAAATTTGCTATTTTTGAAAACCTTTTGTGGCATACGGTAATGCGTTCCTTTTGTTTTAATATTAAAAAGAAAAAAATGCATTTGTACTTGTGTAACTTTCAATATACTTTATATTAGAGAAGTGAAAATATTTAGATCTTAGAAAAGATGTACGTTTAAGCTGCTGCGATTGAAAACCTATAATTTTTTTACCCAAGCCGGTGAAATTAAGATGGCGTCTTACGAAGTTGTTCAAATGGCGAAATTAGGTATATATTATTGTATAAATTAAAGAATGATGATTAATTATTTAATATGCGATGTACATTTCTACAACAATTCTTAAAATTGTAACAGATTCAAAAATTATAAGTACGTACCTTTTGCTCAGTGAATTCAGTTTCGACTTCAGCTTAGCTACGCTACGTCTACGTCGGTGTTGCCATTGATCCGTAATTCCGTAATGCCAATTGTCATATAAATGTAATAAAAATATCAAAGTAACCACCATAATTAACACACCTACATAGCATAATATAATAATTTGTTTCTCATCATTCTTATGTCAGGGTTTGCTGGAAGAAAACTCTGTTTAGGGTTAAGCTCGCCTTTGTACATTTTTTTTGTAACTTTGTTTTCACTTTTAGTGTACAATAAAGAATAAAGAATTAAAGAAACCAATGTTTTTTTAAAGTTAAATTCTATACAGCGTGGCTTTACCAAGCGACAATAAATGAACAAACATATAGAGGATAACTTTTTAAATTTGTATTAAACATTTACATTCTTTAAACATCAATATTTAACGAGTTATCAAATTTTCCATAACAAAAAATTTTCGAACCGCCCTTACGTATAAAACGTTAATGTTAAGTTCATTTGTAAAGGTCACAAAGCATATGAATGGGTTGAATGAATTTAAAAGAGACAAAACATACTGTTAGAAGGAGAGGCTTATAATGCGACGCTGTGGCAACGAATGAAAAAGTCTACTGCAGTCTCTGAATGTATGAATCAGTCATAAGTAGTTGTATAGGTGTTACAAATTTTGTTTCTTTTTTACTTAATTAGTTTGTTTGAAAAATATTTTTTTGTAATTATGGATTTTTTTAACGTTAATGTTTTTTTATTATTATTGGCAAGTAGCCTTAGACATGTGTTAATTTATTGTCTCAGTGGTAAAGACACGCTGTATATTATATATAAAAATATAATTAAAAAAGTAAAATTAAACTTAAAGTTAAGATTCTTCGTCTTTATGTTTGGTAACATTGTCATAAAGCTGTTTTGAGTCTATTAACTAAATCATACTTTTATCAGGATAAATTCTACTACATCATGCTTCCAACTAACCCCTCGTAACCCTTCTTTTCCATGCATTATTGCAGCAACATTCTTATTATTAAATCTATTTCGATCTTGATTAAGAACCGTGGAGGCCATACGTCCTGTTCTCAGTAGGTAGCTGAACAGGCAATACGGTGCCCTCACCTCTAGGACAATGCCCCGTGACCCAAGACCTCTAGGGACATGGTTGTTTTGGGAGTTATCTGTTTCGCGTGGCGAGGCGGGAACCCACAGCGGAATGCCACCACTTTGACGTATGTACTACGGCCCAACACGGGCTGGAAGAGTGCCCAGCCTGGATGGAGCAGCGCCTAGAGTTGTGCGCTATCGTGGGGCACGACCTCTCGCTGCCTGCCGTGGTTCGAGCTATGGTGGAAAGCAAGAGGGCGTGGGGTGTTGTCCTTGCATTTTGTGAGGATATAATCACCTGGAAGGAGGCCACGGAGAAAGAAAGGGAGGCAACTGCCAGACTGGAAATCCGCCGCCGGAGAACAGGGCGCAGGAGGCTGGCCTACGCGCGCAACCTTCCCCCCTGATAGCAAGCTCCGGGGCGGCAGATGTGTGGCTAACTGCTGCCCCGTGGACGGATCGAGAGGGGTGCCGTGTCCATGAGAAGGCCTCCTCTCCCGGGTTTCGCAGAAGATTGCGTTATCGTGTTCCCGCGTCCCCGGGAAAAACGACGTTGGTTTTTTAGTGGGTATCCCGTGTTCCTGGGAACGTCCCACATACCTACACACAAGACGGCGGATCCATAAAGGATTTTTCCCACGTAAAAAAAAGGTGTACAAATAAAATAAACATAATAAACCTACAAACATAATTATATAATGATAAATACAAAAAGACATGCATAGATATTAGATACACACATTTATTACTTACACACACATATACAGCGTGTCGTTACCATCGCGACAATTAATGAACACACGTCTAACGCTACTTGCCAATAATCATAAAAAAATATTAACGTTATACAAAATCCATAATTTAAAAAAAATATTTTTCAAACAAACTAATTAAGTAAAAAAGAAATAAAATTTGTAACATCCTATACAACTCGCGCCACAGCGTCGTATTACAAGCCTCTCCTTCTAACAGTATGTTTTGTCTCTTTTAAATTCATTCAACCCATTCATATGCTTTGTGACCTTTACTAATGAACTTTACGTTACGCGTTTTATACGCGGGGGTGTTCTAAAATTCTTTGTTTTGGAAAATTTAATAACTCTGTAAATATTGATGTTTAAAGAATTTAAATTTTTAATACAACTTTAAAAAGTTATCCCCTATATGTGTGTACATTTATTGTCGCGATGGTAACGACACGCTGTATATATAAACATACTCTTATATAAAAGAGTGGAATGTTATGTATAATATTAATTGAAATATCATTATAATTATCAATTGTGTTTAACATTTTTGCAACATCTATTAAAGAAAGTCACTTCTTAAAGTCACTTCTTATCACAAAACTTAAATCTTTATTATATTTTAAATGGTAATTAAATGATTATTCTAATCAAGTAAATTTATACACACTGTGACACTCAAACCAGTGATGTGACGAGTTGGATTTTTTTTTACTCGAGTTACTCGAGTTGATTTGGCTACTGACTCGAATCGCAACTCGAGTTGACTCGCATCGAAGTCTCAGGTCATAGGGGGGGGGGGGGGGGGGGGGACTCGGCCAACTCGGAGAGCACGAGTCAGCTCGACTCGAGGCTAATTAGATAGGAAGTAATAATGATGTTAAAACGTGATGTTATGTGGCTACTCGAGTCGATTCGCAACTTCGTTTGTGGTCTGAACTAATCCTCTCCTTTTTCTATACACCTCGACCTCGAACAGTGTCCGACGGTTGGGATTTCAATGAAAAAAATTACAATCAATTGGCATTAGTGTGCATTTTATTTCGAAAATCAATCAACAAAGTTGTATATTATTCCAGCGCAGATCTCAACATCGTGTTTAAGAAAATACGACAAAAAATACCGCCATCTATCGCCTCAAAGTCGTACTTATAAAATGTAATTGTACATAGTCGATTGCTTATCGATAAAGTTAAAAAAAGTTTCTGTTTTTATAGCAAAGAATTCCCACGCCACACTTCTGTTATTTGACGTCGTTACAAACAAAACAAAACAGATCACTAACAAATCAAAAATGTCAGTTCGCACGCGGATCGCCAACGGATAACTAATAAAATCAAATAACAAAATGTCAATCAAAAAACAAAATAAACTTTTAAAGCGGTTTTTCATTTGCGCAATTCCGTTTCCGATCCTAGCCGAACGAGCCCGACTCAACCCGAATTCTATTCGAGTTTATGCGAGTAAGATGCAACACCTTATGAACGGCGCGCGCGCGTGTAACGTAACTTTACATTTCACTCAACTCGAGTTGATGCGAGTTGATGCGAGTTGCAACGCCTAACGAACCGCGCGCGCGAGCCGCGTGTGTAACTCGGAACAACTCGTGAGGCCGCCGCGTATAACGTCCGGCTTGCGTTCGGACGACCGAGTTGATTCGAGTTGCTTAAAACTGAACTCGAGTTGACTGGTTTAAGGTTTGACTCGAGTTACTCGAGTCAAATAACTCGAGTCGCACATCGCTAACTGAAACTGTTAAGTCCCTTAGTTCTAACAATGTGTCGACTTGAAATTTTTTTTTATCAATATATAACTTTCCTGAATATAAAGTTAAGATCCGTATCCGCGGATCTACAATTTTAATGATCCGGAATACGGAACATCACTAGTACTGCCTATTGCTCAAAAGTGTTATATACCAGCCCGTGACCGAACAATCAACGCCACTCAAAATCCGGGACTGCGGGCTGCCACTGATCTTGAAGTTAGCACTCAGACCATTCGAAATTGCTTACACCAGTCTGGATTACGAGCAAGGAGGTCTTAGCAAGCTCCTCTAAACTCACGGCAACGTTTACAATCGCAGTAGGCAAGGCTCTGGTAAAAAGAAGAGGAGGGAAAACATGTCTATAATCATTCGTCGAGAATCACGAATAAGTAGATACTCCTCCAGATAATTGACATGTCCTTGTCTGGAAAAGAACTGGAGACTCTAAAACTTAAAACAAAATCTATTTGGGGTGGAATTATGATTGGAGCTAGAACGCCTTTGATCCCTTATCAAGGCTGCATTTATGTAAAATCATTCGCTGTTCATGGAAGCGTCAAGCTATTTAAAATAAATCATGAGCATCAAATCGTACTGGTCGCGGAAAATACACATCGAGCTCAACGAGTCAATTATTCTCTCCGAGAATAGAAAATCACTAGATTAGACTAGCTAGGCAGATCGCCTGATTTAAACCCGATAGATCACGCGTAAGACGCTCTTAAGCAAGCTTAAGTTTGGTAGTAAGGGCAGCCGCTATCCAAGAATGAGACAGGTTACCGCCAGAAATGTTGGATAACTTGATCCTCAGCCTGCATGATTCCTAGGAGGATCTCCGCATGTGTTCAAGCGAGGGGAGGAGTTTTTTGTACTAAATAAAAACCTTGTCATAATAAATTTCATATAAGTTTGATTAAACCCTCTTTATTTTCCGTTAAATTTTAGTCAAAATTTCATTAGGATTGAATAATTCAAGTTTTCTTATTAAAAATATGTGTTTGATTTTTTAATTTCAATAAGTATGAAAAATTAGATATAACGAAATCTTATACTGGATAAAGATACATTTTAAACATTTTCAGCTTTTGCTAGTTATAGCAAACTTTTTTGATGTGTGTACAGCACCTGAAAGATGCAGATATTAGGTACTTTAATTAATAACTTTTTTAACTTCACATCGGATTTCTGCGTGGTTGTGGTACTTCCCCTGACGAGCTTGTCCATTCGTGCAAGAGAAGAAAATGCTGCGTGGTCATAGCACATCAAAAATGTTTACGTGGATCTTATTTGCAGCCCATCGATGTCTCTTTGGGGTACGGACGGTTAAAAAATAATGAAAATCATCGTTAATTCACAATTTTATTTATCATATACAATTGTATCGTATACAATTGTATTGTAGTATGTTGTATATTTATATATACAACATACTACAATACAATTTGCCTTTGGTTGAATCTTTGCTACCTTCCATTTCTTGCTCTTTTTGCAGAAAATACTTCGTTTTTGTAATTCACTAAATTTGTCCAGGAATCCTGCAACAGTAATTTACATATGTCATGTGTCATATATCTTTATTTGATCAAACTTTATAATCTTTGAAATTAATTATACCTTTCTTGCTTCCCGCCATTCAAGATTACGAAGACGTGCTAAGCCTTTTAAATTTCTATCGAGGATTTTTAAAAATTCTCCTATAGTTATTTTTGTTGCGTCACTAGTTCCGTTAGTTGTATTAAGTGGTGGTGCAGCCTGTGTTTAAAAATTTTGTTTCATAAAACTTTTAGCAAAATCTGTACTCCCAATAAAAAAAAACATTCAATTTATTTTATTTTATTACTAAGCCTAGCCCACGATATCATTCGTGTGGATCTCGTAACGTAATTTATATGAAAATATTCGTTAACGTAGAGGTTGTATACCGTATGTATAGATTATTACTACCAAAAGTTTTCTACGACAAAAATGATAATATAAAAACGTAGAAATATGAATAACGTCAGTTTGGGTAACTTTGAACATTTTTACAGAATTTGTGCTATTACAATCTGATTTATATCTATTACCTTTATTTTTTTGAATGAATCCTTTTGAGTTGGTTTATTTTGCCGACACAATAAATTTACGAAAAAACAACAGAACTACAATTTCCCCCCAAACTCAAATTCAAAATTATTGTGAGTTTAGGGTAACTTTGAATATAATTTTTTTAAGATGTAAAAACCATCATCATTCGAATATTTTAAGGTTTGGGTAAAATTATATGACGCATTTTCATAAAATAAAACCTTATCTCCATAGTTACATATAAATTAACGTTTAAATGTGATATTGCATTGAAAGTTTATTTTTTTACTTTTCGTTATTTCAAAACATTTGCCGACCGTTTTACGCAGTTATGCTATTGAAATAAAATATATTTTTCGTGTAATAAATTAATAAATCTTTTTCACAACATTGTTCTGAGTTAAACCGCAATTCGAAGTTACCCAAAACGACGTTACGTATTTGTATTAATAATATTTGATTATTTGTCCGGTTAAAATGAATTTTTGTGTAAATATTTAAAAAAATAAAAAGTACACATATTTCTAATTTGTAAATAAATATAACTCTCTTCTCTATCTATGAAATTACTCTTTAACTCTCTATCTATGAAATTACCGTTTTTAAGTACTGGGCATTTCAAACAAAAATAAAGTTTTGATTGGCTGAGAATTCTAATTATTTTTTTTTGAAAAACATGACATTATTTTTGCAAAATCAGTCTATTGATTAGGTATTGTGTAGCTTTGTAAAAAAGAAAGAGAAAGAAAATACCAAAAAAAGGACGGACAACAAAAAAGAAAAAAAAAGTATGTATGTACTTTTATCACATTTGAACATTTTTCGTCATAATGAATACTTTAAAAATTCGTGTAATTATGGAATATATTATGTTCCATCGTGGCACCAACTCGGCACAAACAGCACGTAACATGAACAAGGTTACGGAGAGAACTTTACAAACGAACGCACAACCCTCAAAAATCTTGATAGATGGGTACCCCACGAACTTAACGATCGTCAGCGCAACTGCTCAACGGACGCGTCGAGACCTGTCTCGTGCTGCTCAACAGGCACAGAAATGAAGGAATTTAGAAGAGAATTGTTACGAGCGACGTAAAATGGATTCTGTTCGACAATCGTTCAGCAAATTGCTCTAAACGAAAAATGATCCCTAGAAAAGTGAAAAATGGTCACTGTTTGGTGGTCTAGTGCCGGTGTAATCCATCACAGTTTTTTTACAAAAAGGCATGAGTATTATTGCAGATGTACTGTCAAGAACTGAAGATAATGGTGGAAAAGCCTGCAACCAGCTTTGGCCAATCGGTCGTTCCCGCCGCTCCGTCACGACCAAGCGCGACACCATACTGCACAACAGGCAATCTCTAAGATGCAAGAGTTGGGGTTGGAAGCTTCCCCTCATCCGCCATACTCACCAGACTTTACACCTACCGACAATTACTTTTTCAAAAATTTGGACAGGATTTTAGTGGGAAAAGAATTAGATCCCCGAGAGGCAGTACAAAATGCCTTTGAAGAGTTTGTTGCCTCCTGTCCAGTTTACAAGAAGGGTATCAATAAACTACCGCTGCGTTGGCAAAGATACATCGATTGCACGGGTGATTACTTTGAATAACAGAAATAAAAAAGTTTGTAAAAAAAATTACCACATTTAACTTATTTCATGCAAAACGGCAATTTCACAGGTAGATAAAGACCATAAATAATAATGTTATAAGTAAAACAAATATTTAATATGACAAAGAGTTCCGCGAAGCTTGACGTCACGAAAGCTTCGATAGTTTCCACGATCATTTTTCTATCTACGTATAGAAAGGACAACAAACTTTATCTACTAGGAATAAAAAGGAATCATACATCATAATATTAGTTAAATAATTAATGATTACCAATATTATGATGTATGAACATAACAATATAGTCTCTAGCTGCTGCCCGCGACTACATATGCGTAGAATAGGCTGAAGGCGTAACCAGGGCCGGATTTAGGATTTAGGCCTCGACAAACGAGGGGCCCCCACAATAGAGACTTAAAAAATCAAATTCTAGGCTAGTAAACAATAGTAAACAACTTTACCTTCCATATTTTTTTTCGCGTTTTACTTTTACCTACAATTTCTTTGTACAAACATGATAAATTAAATATTAACAGAAATCAATAGAAAATATTTGGGGGGAAAGGGGCCTCCACTCCTTTGTTTCCCCGAGGCCTGCAGACCTCTAAATCTGGCCCTGGGCATAACATTCAGAGAGAAAGGTAGAAATATGTATATATATGTACAGAGGTAAAAATATGTATATAACTTATAACCTATATGTTATTCTGATGTATAAGCTATAACATTATTGTAAAGTTTCATTAAAATCCATTCAGTAGTATTTGCGTGAACGAGTAACAAACATCCATCTGTACATAATTACAAACTTTCGTCTTTATAATATTAGTAAGGATAAATCATAATCGTTAAATAGAAATTTTAAACTATTATGCGAAATAAAATAAATTATAAATTTTGCTGTATGCATGACAATTATTGTAGCATTTTTCAAAGATAAGTCAATAGTTTACAATTACATAATGATATATTGTTGGTTGCCATCCACGCAGTCAAGTTACTGTAGCAGTGTAGTTAGTAGCTACGATGACAATCAAATATGCACACAGACATATTTATCAATTTATAACATTAACATAGAATTCGTATAAATATCTCTCAAAAATTAAATGCTTACATAAGTGAATTCAAATCATACTACTTACATTATCATCTACAAATTGGTTATTCACCAATTCTGAAATTTGACTATATGCGCTTTTCGTATCATTTATTTGCTGAAAAAGATTAATAATAAAAATATAAAACCGTACAGTACTTTCTTAAGTTAAGTGCTTAGGTTTAATAATGTGCAAAATTCCCTAAAAGCATAATTATTGCTCAACATCTGGGCTTTTATAATTTAATTTCATAATATATGGGTTATTTAAAGACATAGTCGTCCCTATGTTAATATCAATGCGGTTCTCAACGCGCTTCCACTTTACGTGAGCGCGGGCAACGCGATACACCGCCTTGGAATGCGGGTGTATCGTCTTGCGTTGGTTGGTTGGGTTGATTAGGATACTACGCGGATAAGCTTTTCGGACGGTCGTGTGTATACGGTTGTTAACATGTTTACCACACGACGTTTGGTATGACTTTTGGCTCTTTCGAAGAACCGTTTGGTCATATCTTTAAAATACTAATGAGAGAGTGTCTGGAGTCTGCACTAGCTATGCAGGTCGATGTTTCTATAATACCAGCCTGGCCTAAAGTTTTTTGTGATGTACTTTCGAAATGCATGTAGACATTGCAGAGAAGGAGTTTGTCCTTAAAGGTTTTGCTTGTGATGTTCAAGAGTCAATGAAGTCGGCCTAAAAAGTATGCAGCATTATTTCTTACGGTTTCAATGCGAGCGAGCGAGCGAGCGAGCGCGCGCGCGCGCGCGCGCGTGTGTGTGTGTGTGTGTGTGTGTGTGTGTGTGTGTGTGTGTGTGTGTGTGTGTGTGTGTGTGTGTGTGTGTGTGTGTGTGTGTGTGTGTGTGTGTGTGTGTGTGTGTGTGTGTGTGTGTGTGTGTGTGTGTGTGTGTGTGTGTGTGTGTGTGTGTGTGTGTGTGTGTGCGCGCGCGCGTGCGCGTGTGCGTGTGTGTGTGTGTGAATCGATATGTTGGCTTCGAACGAGTCCCCGAGATATATGACCTTCTTCTCTTGATTAACCCCATCTTCCTGTTCTGTCAATCCCAAGTCATTGGTCGGTCAAAGTGGGCTATAGTGGGAGCCCGAATGAAGTTTATTTTCACATATAAGTTCTTATACTTTTTCCTGATTCTCCATTTGCGAATTCAATCTGCAAGCTGATCGACGAAGCTTTGGAGGCAAGTAGCTATTTATTCTGACAATATATTTGTCTGAGGGAAAGATGCTGATGAAGTCAGCGCTTAAACACGCGCGATTGGCTTGTGGTACAAAAGAGCTATTCGGCAGAAAAGCTTAGAAATAGTTGATTTTATTTGAAGTTAAAAAACACAACGAAAGGCCAATAATAAAATGAAAAATTTTCTTGGAAAAACTAGCTGTCTTCAATAAGTACAAACATTCTTATGCTTCTTATGCTATCTTACCTCTAAAATTAAACCAAATATGGTACCAAAAAATCCTTTTTGCGGTGTTTTTGCGACATTTTTTCCGGCCTTTATTGAGACTAATCTTAAGGTTCGGTCTTTATTTATTGATGCGTCTGCAGTTGGCTGAAAGTAAAGAGTAAAGAAGTAAAGTTAGTAAGCAATTAGTAACTTAGAGTAATTTAAATACATGTATATGATTTACAAAATTTTTACAAAATGAAAAACAATTTGAATTTACGATTCAAAATTTTATTCTTTTTTTATACATATTTCACATTATCAGGAATAAGGTCTTAATTGTGACATGAAAAAGCGGTAACAATTTACGTTACTATGGGTATGTTCCGAATATGCAAAGCGACCACTGTACAGTGTGACGTCAATTTAGTATACTAGGAAGCCGTTCCTTTATAGTTCGATATACTGCTTACTATTTAAAACGGAACGCAATCCCGCCCGTCCCGTATACTGTCAGCCGCATTTTTTGACGCATTCAATTGAGTTTTTTAAAGTTTTATAATTCATTAATTCAGTCATTACTTTATTAATTAATACATATATAATAATGCATTTTAACATATATAATAATAAATATTAATACATACATATTAATTAATACAGTCTAATAAGGTTAATTTTTGCAATTCTTCCATTGTTTTATTTATTAATCCAAACTAATTACAGAACTCTATAACTCTGAGATGAAAATGTAGGTATTGTTTATAAAACGTTAGGCACTGCGAGTACCTTACCTCGAAAACGTCAGTGCTCGCAGTAGAATATGGCGACGATTTATGACGTTATATATTTCCCTAAGATACTGCGGCAGTATACTGGCAGTCCATAACGGAACGAATTTTTCTACAGTAATAGCACTGTGCAGTGCTCGTAGTGCATATCGGAACATACCCTATAGTACACTACGCACTATACTTTACATTACGAATTGTCATTGATCGAACTGGCACTATTCCTGGAATGTAAACGTGTTCTCAGCCGTTATGGAAGTCCTATTTTATCTACGTGTTGCGGTAAATCATGTGCATTGTTTGTATCTTGCTTAAGGCTTAAATATATATGGAAAAAAGTACTAACTGGTTGAGCTGTGGCAGGAAGTATTAAAACGGTGGCGATCAAAAGCGCGCTTAGTGCAGCGCACCTTGAACTCTGCATGTTTTTTGTGGATGCTCCCAATTATTCTGAATCACACCATGGATTAATTTTATAACAATGGACATGTATCTGCAATTTAGTAAATATTACATGTTATTGACAAGTACATCATATTTACAATTGTTTTAACATTTCATAACTATTACCTAGGACCAAGACATCTGTATGCTTAATTTTTTTAATTATATATATATATATGTGTGTGTATATATCTAATCGGAAGCTTGAAATTTAGTATGTGCGTAGATTCGGGGGCGAAAAATCGATCTAGCTAAGTTACATTTTTAGAAAATGTCCTTTTATCCCTGTTTTCAGGGAATACTTTAATACTTTAGGACACATTTTTACACAACATTCTCTAGTCACAAACTAAGCAAAGCTTGTACTATGGGTACTAGAAAACTGATAAACATACTTAAACATACTTTTCTTTTGTAAATAAATACATATTATACATATATAAACACCCAGACACTAGAAAAACACTATGTTCATCACACAATATTTTTCCAGTAGTGGGGATCGAACCCACACCTTCTGGCACAGGAGGCAGGTACACTACCCACTACGCCATTCGGGTCAAAGGAACAAAGGGAAAGGGTCAAAGGGAATGAAAATATCATTCTAATATGACGGTAAATTTCGCCGCTAAAAAAAATTATAATAGCTCGGTCGGTAATCGGGCGGCCCCAAAACAGACGGCCGCGGTTCATATCACGATCATTTACACACTTATTTTTTTACTTTATTTTTTCGTTTCCAGATCATTGCTTTCTTTATCTTTTATTTTTTGTCGATTTGTTATTCTTTTCCCTTTTTTTAAGCTTTTTCTTTTGTGAAAAACACCAGTTCATATTTTTTTATTATTACGTCGGTAATATCTAAAAATATTATGCACATTTCATTACATAGTAATTTGTATCTAAATGTAATTTCCAAAAGACACGATTTACCAAAAAAAAAAAAAACAAACCGAGCAAAGCTCGGTCCTCCAGGTACTATTAAATAAATGGCATAAAACTCATTATGTATCAGGCAGTAAAAAAAATACACTTTCAACCTCGACCCCACACAAGTTATACAAAATATAATTAAGTTTTAAAACTAACTGCCCTCTTAAAAAAGTCAGCTCTCTTCTCACAACTCTTGATATCCAACTTTTGAGTGTAGTCTGTCACGTGACTCATTTTAAGTGTAGGGAAACTGAGCATATGGATCACCGGATGCACGAGAACCACGTCAAGTTGCAAGAATGTTAACCACTGAGCGTGTGGGCCCCCCCGATTACCTCATACACTCGACAACAAGAGGCAAGAGTACTTTTACTTCCCTTTCTCGAGCAGGCCTATTCGTGCTGATATTAGTTGCTAAACATTTTCATTTGCTGATGGACATATTTTACCACTAAGATGACGCACGCTGTGGAAACAAAGCAATATCCCATTCACTTAGCTACTGTTTGTAGAAAAAGATTGTTTTATTATTGTTAAACATATTAATATATACACTATGTAACAATAATATAGTTATAGTTAGTTTGGTTTGATACGTAAGATTATATGTAATTGATTTGTATTTACTTATGTATTTATTTTTAGTTTCCTATTTACATAATACCGTTTAAACTTTACATTTGTAGAACAATGTTAAACAACAAGTATCCACGTATTTAGGTATACTATCCAATCCAAGCAACTAACACGAGCTCAACGTAACAGTTACGTATGCGAATATAACATACAAGTGTTTTTCTAATCACCACCAATAGGAAAAACTACATAATGTATACATACATATGAAAATGAATATTTCTTATATTAACGAAACTAAGATGCGAATGTCATGTGTTTGACATAATTGATAAGTAAATCTCCGATTGGTTACCTAATATTAAGCCAACATGTTATTGTTGTTGTTAATAACACAATAAGAAGGCATTTGCATGATAAGGTTACATTATTTTTTTAAATATAAATGTGTATCTATATTGTAAATTTTTGTAGATAAATAAATAAAAACTTTCTGCGTTGCGGGATTATAAATGTGTATCATTAATATGTGGTACTCAATGTTTCTGGAACTGGGCATTGAAATAATAAAAAAAAAGTAAATTACGGAATTCGAAAACGGAACTTCTTGGGAGACTGTAATTTTTCTTCATTGTGGCGTTGTTAAGACAATTATAAAATATATCGCCGTTACAATTAATATAATGATTTTTCTTGATTTTCGTTGTGGCTTAACAAGAAATAAAACGTGAATTTCTTGGTAAATAAATTGTCGAAAAATATTCGGTGCTGTGAGATTCGAACCAGCGTCTTCCCGGTATCTCAGATGCTTTTCCAATGAGCAATATGCTGCGAAATGACGGTCAGAGTAAGGTATACGTTGCAAAACAATTATCGTTTCATAATCATAACATCAGGTTTATCAATAACAATTAAGTTTCAGTATCGCCTAACTCCTAAGTTATTGTATTTATTAGAACTTTATTAAAATAAGTATAAGATCAAGTAAAGAGGAATAGTACTATATTTCGCAATATCAGTGGCATTATATTGCAATAACATACTAGGAGATGGACAAATATTGCCGTGCCCGAAAATATGTATGGTAACTAAAACGAAAATTACTCAGGTGCATATAGTCTAAAATATGTTATATTATATTAATGTGAATAACCGTGATTAAACAATATAAACAAACTTGTTTTAATTTTGAGCAACAGAATTACGGGTAGTTGTTTTTACTACAAGAAAAATATAATTGAAATTAATTTAATTAATAATATTTTTTTACGGAGGTAGGATCAGGCAGCAGCCTCGACTGTTGCACGAATGGGCAGGCCCGTCCGGGTAAGTACTACGACCTCGCAGAAGACCAGCGTAAAGTGGAAGTATGACCAATACTGTCGCGTTTCGTTTGGTGAGTGAGGTAGCCGTAGCCCAATTTTCAAAAGGTTGTGAACGCATCTGTAACCTTCGGGTGTGGCAGATGTCCATGGGCGGCGGTATTCACTTAACATCAGGTGAACCATCTGCTCGTTTGACAACTTTTCGCATAAAAAAAATATATTTCGTCTTTGAGGCGACTATTGCACGGTGGCTGTTATCGCAGTAATATACGAGTATCTATGCAAATTTTTAGGCTTAGTAAGAAGGTAACTAACGATTCCGTCTATCGTTAATAACTAGTTGTTACGGAAGTTTTTGGATAATGGGTTTTATTTTTTTTTACAAGTATGTCACTGCAAACTACCTTGACCAATGTTTTTATGTCAAAACTTCAATCTTTGTTTTATTTCAATAATGGCTAACTGTTGTTACCTATTTTTAAAGCATATTTAAAGGTGATCGTGACCGTCACGAGAATTCTTGCTTCCTTAATATCCAAACAGACTAAAGGAAATATTGAATTACAAATCTCAGAGTAAAAAAAAATGCAAATTGCGAGTCGGATTTCGCACTGAGGGTTCCGTACCATTATCTATAAAAACGGTAAAAATCATGTCTATTGTATAGGAGCGTCACTTAAATATTCTTTATTCTGTTTTTTAATGTTTGTTATTATAGCGGCAACAGAAATACATCATCTGTGAAAATTTGAACTCTAACTAATCACAGTTCATGAGATACAGCTTGGTGACAGACAGACAAATAGCGGAGTCATAGTAATAGCGTGCCGTTTTACCCTTCGGGTACCGAACTCTAGAATGAGCGCTTCAAGCATTATATTTTTTTTCATTCTAAGAGCAAAAATACCAATGCGTAGATTGGTGCAGGTAATTACTCGTAGCATCCCACATGCTTGGTACAGACAAATCTTAGACTTGAAGCCATGACCCTCATTGGGTGTTTGAAAAAGACATTTTTATGCGTATAAATTAAAACATTGCTAAACTGTGTGATATTGCGATTTATAATTTGAGGAGTTGAATAAGAATCACATTGAGAATCACAAACGCATACTCACTGTATGTATGTTTTTATACATACTAAATACATGGTATGTATTACGAACGTAGGTACCTATATATATGTTCGTCTCTTAAACGTCAAGTGGTATAAGACTATTAAAGTTTTTTCGTGTTAGTCGGGTTTTCGGTTTTTTTAACTATTGACTTATGGCCTTTTAGCCTCTGAAAGTGTCCAATTATCAGGTAACCCATCTACCTGAGAGGGGTTTTAACCTCGTGTTATTTGTATTCCACTTGCGGGTCAGACCAAGTATAACACGTGCCTTTTATACAATAGCTGAGTTTCTTCAAGCGATAGCTAAAAGCTTCACATACAATATGCCTTATCATATCGTGACAACCGTAACAAAACACTTCATCAGGAAGTAACAAGAAACTTTTTGGTTTCTCATTTTACTGTTAAAATGTGAAACCAAACCTGAATAAATATAATTAGAAACTAATTTTATTATATCCCGATATTTGGCCGAGAAAAGAAATTAATAAATTTAGCATTATCGGCATGTTTACAAGTACTTCATATTTCGGCAACGTCTTGCAAAAGATTAACGAGAGGTCTTAAATGAAAAGGTGCCCAAACGCTCTTGTTTTTTCCGTACACGTAATCGAAATGCTTGCAAAATCTTGCTACTCCATTTAAATTATTTTTAAGTAAATGCAAGCTGTACTTACAGAATTCACGGTATACATATATACAATTGTTAATAGTTATGATTACGTGTTTTGAAATTAACTTTATTTTTTAAAGAATAATACCGATCCCAAGATGAGTTCTAAACTACAAAATAAAATTCTCATTTTTTTTTGTCGAGTGAACTGTAGCGACAAACCAAAAGAAATGAAGACGTTCTAGTCACCATCATTTATTAGCATATGTCTTTTTGCCTACCGGTGCGATAAATTTGATTTTTGACGCAGACGTTAAAAATGTGCATGTTTGGCACTTTACTTTAATTTTATTCCGAAGAAGGCCTTTAAAAACTCTATCAAGTCAACTCAAGTAATCTAACAAGGTCTTACAACAAGGTGTTATGGACACAGTAAAAATCTGTTCTAACGCTAAGTATTTCATTAATTTAAATGTGATATGGATGTAATTATGTGACACAGATTATCGACACACTCGAAAATTTTAAGTAAAAATCATATTGCTGAAATATTTATTGTTCTCAGTAAAAAACCAAAAGAATATCAAAATTATTCGTAGATGATATTATTAATTAAAATATAAAGATACTCTTTAAAGTGTCAGTATTATAAACATTTCATTTCCTTTATTTTTACAAAAGTATTTAGTACCTTGATGGTTATAGGTAATCGATAAGATGGGTGGATAGATGGATATATTTGATTTATGTAGTATATAACACGTGAATTTTATATGAAAATAATACTTTTATCAGTTTGATCCCTTTTTTACAAATGCCACTTAGTGTTCGTGTTATTAAGTCCAATATTTATTACATGGAATTATAAAATTTAAGATATTTGTTTTCAATACAACGTGTAAGACCTTACCGCGCGTAAGTAGGCGTAAGGTCGTATACCACTCACTTACGGACATTTCGCAAAATTTTATCACTCTGTAAATAAATTAATCTAAATGCATAAATTAATAATAATAAATGATAAGTATACAAATTTATTTTTATTCATTAGTATTTTGTCTTAAGTTTAAATTAATTTAAATTATAGAAATTATCAAAATAATAAATGAATTGAAATAAAATTAATATTTTTAATAAATTGGCATTAGAGTCGTTTTTTAAATTTTTGATCATTTTTTTAATTAACTTATATTTCATTATATAAAACCTAAAAAATAAACATACATACTTAGCTTATCCTTTGCGTTTCTTGCTTCGGCAGTGAACAGCGTTTTTTTTTGTACTCAACTAATTAATGCAAATAAATTACAGAAGACATTTAGGTATACATAGACATATTGTCAAAAAAATTAACCTTGCACGATGTGACTGAAATAATAAATTCTTATAATATTCAGCGGGCATATGGGTTATCTAAATATTCACCGGTAAGAATCTGTTATTTGATTCACGTAGTGTTAAGTGTAGAGTAACATTTGTTTTTGAAATATTTACGATAAACAAGCAACACACCGCGCGATGATTTAGTCGGTTGCGGCAGTGCAACCAACAGGTTGAACTGCACCGATAATACTGTGAGGCACGCTGTGTAGCGGGCTTTGTGGGCTGCTAAGACCATTAGGGCCAAGGCCGACCAGCTGATTGCGAAGTTTTCGTTATGTCAGCCAGCTTGCGTTCTACTTATGCAACGCTTACAAATCCGATGCAGTTAGATGACCCCTTCTGGTATTCTAAACTGTTCCGAATCATTAATTTTCGATTAGTTAATAGTAGTATTCTGATTATTCCAATTATATTAAAATAAGAAAAACAACACCATATTTCGTCATCAAGACTTACATAATTACTACTAATTAAAATTCATTAAGACAATACATGGAATTATTCTAAATGGATACGTCATTTAAAAAGTGACGACGTTTGTTTAAAGTGTACCTGGTTACCTTACTCACCAGACGAAATGCAGAAGAAACAGACTACTTCACGCCAGTCTTTTCTGTGAGGTCGTGGTACTTTCCCGGAGGGGCCTGCCCATTCGTGCTACAGCAAAGACTGTCGCGTGTCCCTTCTACAATTGAATTAATCGACATGTTTCATTTACATTATTTATTGTATATGAAAATATATGTATTTAACACAATAATCAAAAATGTTGGAAGGAAATACTCAAATTAATTAATTAATTTGTATTAAAAACATAAATCATCATAATTACTTAATTAGTTAAAAGTTATGATTTTATCATTATACGCCCTGCGTGATTACTTATCTTAATCTTAAAGTTTAGTTATGCACGCTTTATGATGCTGTCATTCGTAGCATTTTAAATTCACATGGCGTAAAACGAAATTGTTTCTCAAGCATTATAGATTGTCGAGCAAAAATTCAAGAAAATATGGTGGATGAGTGTAAAATTTTGGGTGCACTGCATGTGCAATCACGTCGGGGTCACCAGTTTGGGAGCCGACAGGAGGGAATATTTAAGATGCAGTGCAAAGAACAAGCAGAGTTAAGAAAACCATAATCTTTTATTGTCACTCGTTGCTAAAGTTATTTGTCAATATTACAGTAATGCTAGACCAGATGAGAGTTAGGGTACATAAGACAAAAGCGGTGCTACACTATAGCGAATGAGTCGCCACATCACCCCCTACGGAGAAAAATAAGTACAAATTGAAAGTAAAAAAAGAATAAAATGTAACAATCGAATAGTTATACACTGTTATTATAAAAGTACAAGCAACATTCTTTAGGTTATTTTTTTCATAACTAATGGAATTTTATCTTATACCATGAAAAAAATAAACATTGGACATTTAAAATTGAAAAAACTGCTTTAACAAAAAGCACCAGGAGATAACGGAATTACAGCAAAGCTTCTGAAAGCGGGTGGAGAACTGATACTTGTACTTTGTAGTCCTTCAGAACTTTCAGAAGCTCAGGAGGGTGCTACGCGGGGGGATTGGAGCAGAGGTGATGTGGTGTCGTTTTCAAGAAAGCAAACGATAACGCTCTGTTGGAAAATTATATTTGAGCCGCGTATATGTTCTGTTTTCGAGAATCATCTAGAATCGTGTCAATTTTATAGCATCGACCTGGTCTGATCGCCTCAACTCTTCGGCCTTGCGAATGGATGTTGCATCCCTTTGCATTTTCTATCTGCTTCAGAATTTTATAGTGCTAATATCTGCACTTAATGTAAAACATTAAAATTTGTAGAAAAAGGGACGAACTTCTTCCGGATTTGCACCCAGACGCTTTCCGCGAATCCCTAAGTTAAATGGCTGTTTTGAACAGAGGCGTCTTTAGAAGCTTAAGCTTTTTCGAAGCCAGCCAGGCTTTCTCTTCCTAGTGACCGCAAAATCGAACGTTGCTCGATATGTCAATTCCAAAAATTCCATTCGAGTCTGTGGCAACAAGGGGATTGCCCTCATAAATAGGATACACGAAGAAAGGTTTCGCCTTTGCAGTACACGAATTTTTAGTTTTAAACAATTGTTATTTCAATTGAAAATATAACAGGTTATACAATGTTGTAAATAAAACTAAAATATTTTTGTTCACTTTTAATCCAGCTACAGTACCGAAAAAAGCCAGTGTGCATATAATTATGGTTACAATTTAAAAATGTAAGTTTTTTCTTCTAATAATACTATTAATTTATTGCGTAATTATAAAGTTATATCAATTAATGTTTTTATTATGGTTAGATAATGATGCATATTCTATTTTAAGAAGTTAACAGCTCCATTTTTCTGTATTTCTTTCTTAATGTTGAGACGGGATCTTTAAAGAGTATTGGATCGAGACGAAGTATGGAGCGTACAAGGGGCATGTAACCCCATGCTGATGCAAACGTATTGAGGCAGGACTGTCTCTGAACAAAGTGTTCTGGGTCGCTCCATGACGATCTGAAAAATGAAGTTAGTACACATTTAGTCAGCGGGATCAAGAAATTTTCGGCTGCTTCGGTAAATGAGACTAGATGATTCTAACTTCACAATAATCAAATTATGTTTTTTTACAATTTGCAATTGGTACCTTTGCAAAACAATAGATCCCTTAGGTAAAATCCAGCTCTTACCACACACAAGATGAATTATTGTCATAAATTCACGTTATCACTTAACATTTGCTTGTAGCCTTAACGTCATGTTTATTCCTTAAATACTAACAATGGTTGGAGAATTTTGTATACGGTGAAGACAAACGAATGTATTTGAATGAATAGTAACAAGCAAGCAGTATACATGTAGGTACTACAGAACAATTATAAGAATAACAACCGCCCGTGAATGTGAGCGGAGCCTTTTTTAATTTCAAAACTTTACTTAATTTATAACATATACAACACTTTAGTAACAAAAAACAAAACCCGCCCATAACTCACTAACTATACAATTTTTCTTTGATTTTGAGCAGTTCCCTTAAGTATCTCCGGTGTTATCTAATAACTTTAATTTAAAATCTGTTCATATATAACAAAGTTTTGAGGTAAGAAATGTAGAGATATAAACTGAATTGAGATCCCCCTCCTTTTTCGAAGTCGGATGTTAATATGACGTAAAAGAAAAGATAGCACGAAAGCCCATGAAAAGAAAAAGACATACGTAAACAGCAGGTCCCTGATCTCGAGGGAAATCGTAAAACGGTTTGCATTATTAACGCGAATCATAAATTAAATCATACATTTTAGAGACTTTACTCATTTAGTGATTTCATCGTGGTTCATTTTCATTTAAAAACATCCGATGCTTCGAATACTTTGTAGTATTCGTGTTTTTTTTATATGAGAATATGGCAAGCGAGCTGGCGATTCAACTGATGTTAAGTAATAACCGCCGCTCTCGGACATTTGCAACACCCGTATAATTGCAGTTGCGTATGGTTTGCCAATTTTTATAATAGTGAAGTGGGCCCCGTTCAACTCATTCACCACGCAACCTCTGTGAGGTCGTGGTACTTCCCAGGACGGACCTGCAATAAAAATTATGCTGGCCTACAATAAAAATTAACCGCGATGAAATCCATGAATGTAATCATCATCCTCCTGCCTTTGTCCCACATAGGTGAGATGTTTTTTACGAGCGGCCGCTTGCCTGACGTCAACCCTTCCTTAGTAAACACACTATGGATACGGAACAATTGTCTGCGGGTCACACAAATAGTTGTCCCGTGTGGGAATCGAACCCGCGACCCCCGACGCCGAAGCGCGGCTTAATAGCTCAGCAACGGCGCCGCAAACGTAGCAACGACGTAGAAACCTGTAGCGGTGGTGGGCGGGCTTGTAGCGGCGGCGCTGCGCCAGCTTGAGCGGCGGGCGGCGCGTGGTGTGCGCCACGAGGCAGTTGAGCAGTATGTCCTCGCAGTTGCGCGCGCGGCGCACGGCCAGCCGCAGCGCGGGCGCGGCCGACGCGTACAGCGCCAGCGCCGCGCGGTGCACCAGCGCCGCGCCCGGCAGCACCATCGAGTACGCGCCGCCCCACCGGCTGCTGTAGCCCCACGCGCCCTGTCGACGCCACGCACTGGGCATGAGGTATACATACCTGCAACGTTCTGTACCCGGCCTCAAAGGTACGGGTATCGCCGTATATCCGGTGCTAAAACCCAGTATCAAAATACCTATAGCTATTAGTTATGTTCAGGCCTCCTTTTGGAGACTCGATGGAATCAAACGAATTGAACCTTTGATTGGAACATTTAGATGTTTTTTTTTAGCAATCAGTTTTTTGAAATTGAGATTGAATCAGTCTAAAATAAACTCCATCTTTACTAACGTAAAGAACCCTATTACCAAAAAAAAGTTATTCAAAATAAATATTACTGTTTAACCTTATTACGCAATTATTTATCTACCTAACTGCATAGAAATAGAGAATTATTTCGTATAAAATGCTATAGGCGATCGAGCGCCAACGTTATGAAATACCGCCACCGTCTGATGAGGCGGCGCTAGGTCCGCGTACTCGCGAGCGATATCGACAATACCTATCGGGTCTGGAACGGGCCTCTGCCGTACATACTCGGTCTGCATACTGGTACGTTCATACTGGGTATTTATACCTGTTCCAGTATATACGCCTCATCTCTACCACGCACCGCGCTAGGCCCTTTGCACCTTGCTAGGCCACCCTCGGCCTGTTTGCACTTTGCTTAGCCACGCTCGGCGGGTTCGCACGTTGTTTGCGCGTTTCGCGGGCGGTGGTGACCGGCGCTGGCCGTTTACGTGTGCAACCCTTTAGAGTCGACCCCGGACTCGGCGGACGACATGCAAGAAGCGATTACTTGTGTGCATGTCGATTATATACAAATTGACAAAGTAAGGGCCTGAATAGTGTCGATCAAAAGTACAAATCCCGCCTCAACCCCTCTCATTTGAAGCCGCGGAACACGCAGTGGAACTCGTGTAACTAATTAACGCCTCCCATAGACAGCTAACTGTGCTGTTTCAGACAAGAATAGCGCCTCCGATGGACGCTGCATCATTATAAGCCTGGCGAAACTTTAATTTGTCTCTCTTTCTCTGCACTTTTTTATAAAATTGTAATATACGTTGTTTTATTTTACAAATAAAATTTTATCTTCTAATCCAGATAATTACTGCATTTTTACCGAGGAAACTTATATTTGAACAATTACTCTGAACGTTAAGGTTTCTAAGGTTTATTTTTTATTCTTTTTTAATTAATAGATTTAAAATATATGATTTCAATTAATCTTTTGTTGTGCAAGTGAGAAAGACGAGTGTGTGGTATTCTAAAGAACAAGTCATTGAGACCATTAGCAAACGAAATGTTAAAGAATTCCTAATTTACTTTAGCCTCGTCCCAGAAATGATTTCTGGCTGGATAGCCAACAATGCGCTCGGGGAAGTGTTGCCAAACGCGGAACGCGAAATCTAACTCCTCTGCCAGCAAAGGTGCGTCGCCGTCTAACGAGAAAACGGCTGCTGTTGGAATCGCCCACAACGGTTGCCACCTGGCCGATACGCCTTCGCTGCAAAAAAAAATCCGTGTTTAAATAACTTTTCGCTTAACTAATGAAGGTTATTTTAACAAGTTTTTATCCCTTAGTCCCAACAACTGAAAATGAAATCATCGTCAGACAAATATAATCAACAAAACTGAACTTCGCCGATGACCAAATAAACAACACATATGAGTAAAATCACTGGCGAGTAAACGAACCAATTAGTAAGGTTTCATTTAAACGAATTGTCACAAGATGGTATTCTTTATGTACATAACTTTATTCCATTTTCTCTATTTTCCGTCAAGCGGACCATAAGCTTTAAAGTGGTGTTTGAATCAGTAAATCTGATGAAGAATTACGGAGGTTTTGGCGTTTCGACAGAGAAAAACACCTTTGAGAAATAATATATAGACACTTACCCCGGATAGTGAGTGGTTGCGTCTATAACGATAACCGGCAACGGATCGCGAACATCGCCTGCCATTCGCGCCAGCGTCTTTAGTGTTGGTGCAGCGCGTTCGCTATCCCAAACCAACACTACCTGTTCGAGAATAACGTGGATAAAAGGATCTTCTCAAGATGGAAAGAAATCTTAAGAATTATAATTCATTTAAACAAAAGAACTATTAGAAACAATTAAGAATTTCATATACATATATGACAAAATAAGTAGACACATTTCTTAAGAAAATTGGAAGAAAGTCGATTTTATCTCGTGTAAAATAACCAACCGAAAATCACTTTCATCCTAAAAATAAATTTATGTACGGTTGACGCCAGTTGAATTGCAGTTTGATTACCATTCTTTCATAATTATATGCCATTGCAATTTCATTTCATTGTTCCTGTTAAATTAATCCTATAAAGAAAACGCATGTATGAAATCATGCGTTTTGTCTTACCTAGAACGGAGGCCGTATCAAACTCCTGGGATCAATTATCTCGCGAGTTCTGCGTTCGATGAAGCTTTATTGACTTGAATTTGCGTTCGATAATGATCGAGAATTCGAGAGAGGCGCACAAATAACTCACAATTCATTGCATGCATTCGTCACAATGTCCTTCAACCATTAAGCTAAACGAAAGCTTCTACGTCTAATTATTGAGGAACAGCTGACGGTTGTTTCCGAACGAAGTTACCTTTTCGCAAAACTCGCTGCTCGCAATGTTAGCGAGAAGCTTGTGAAGGGCCGGCGACGTGGCTTGGACGTACAGCAGAGCGGTGAAGGTCTCCCCGGGCGTGGGGGGCGGGGCGGTGGAGGGGACGGAGGGCATAGGCAGCGGGATCGGGGGGGGAGTGGGGGCAGACGGGGCGGGGGGGACCACCACCGCCACCGGGAAGTGCGCCCGGGAGTCACCGTAGCTCGCAAGAGTCCCCAGTGCCCCCGGCGACGCGTTCCATATAAGCGCGTCGCGCCGCCTCGATGACCGATGAGCGAGTATACGCTCGAACAGCAGCTGCGAACGTAACATCTATGAGAACAGTCGCGCAACACGGTACCATACAGCAAAGCAATCGTCCAATTACAACATTCCAATTACGTAGAGTCCCACGGATACGAGACGCTTATGTAACACTTATGTCGATACTTGAACACAGTTTCATACCTAGATCAATTGTCACGCCTCAATTATAAGTAGAAAATTTATAACATAAAAGTTAAGCCAAAACGTAACGTGTACATTTTATGATTGAGATATTTTTCTATCTTGGAATCATCCGGCTCAAGGGTAGAAGCAAGAGGAGCGGAGGCCTAGGCGCGACGTAGAAAATAAAACATGAATGGCGACAATACTACAATAATAACAACAAATACTAATTAAATTATTATGTAGTAGGAGGTTTGTTAATGTTGAAGCAGGAGTGTAATAATTAGAGCTATATATATTATTATATGAATATAGATCAATGAGATATTATATTTTCTTCAATTAGTTAGTACACTACCTACATAGATAACTGATTTTATTATGAGTGACTAATTGAAATTAACACAAGAATTCAATTTAATAACGTAGAAGTAGAAACATTCTCAGTGTTAAAGAAGAAGGGGTATAATAAATACAGCAACATAGTAAGTAACAGCCTATACATGTCCCACCGCTGGGCAAAGGCCTCCTCTATACAGAGGGTATCAGGGCATAGTCCACCACGCGGCCCCACTGCGGATAGGCGGACTTCACATATCTTCGGTTTCCTTACGATGTTTTCCTTCACCGCGGAGCACGTGATAAGACAGCAACATGATTAAATTTAAATTCGATAAGTGTTACAGTCTTCAATAATATTATTATTTAATTAAAATAAAGCTAGCAAAGACTAGATCAGGGTGGAACGAGATTGTCTTTCAGCACCCTTTAGTCCGTGCTTTCTTCTCTTACTTTGCATAATACTTTAGCTTTATGTTGGTTATGCCTAGCAGTATAACATAGAATAACTTCGTAATGAAGAAGTTTTAAATTTTTCATAGTATAATTATAAATTAAGTAAAATTAAGCAGAAATGTAAAAGAATATTTTAAATATCACGTGACACTTGACCTAAGAAAGCTACGCTACTTATTTTCACCGAATGCTTAAAAATTCATTGGTGTGTAGTGACTTGCGCCGTCCGTATCCTGTTTTGTTTTATACTTATACAGCGTGTCGTTACCATCGCGACAATAAATGAACACACATATAGGGGATAACTTTTTAAAGTTGTATTAAACATTTAAATTCTTTAAACATCAATATTTACAGAGTTATAAAATTTTCCAAATCAAAGAATTTTAGAACATCCTTACCTATAAAAGCGTAACGTAAAGTTCATTTGTAAAGGTCACGAAGCATATGAATGAGTTGAATGAATTTAAAAGAGACAAAACATACTGCTAGAAGGAGAGGCTTGTAATACGACGCTGTGGCGCGAGTTGTATAGGATGTTACAAATTTTGTTTCTTTTTTACTTAATTAGTTTGTTTGAAAAATATTTTTTTTTAATTATGGATTTTGTTTAACGTTAATATTTTTATATGATTATTAGCAAGTAGCGTTATGCGTGTGTTCATTTATTGTCGCGATGGTAACGACACGCTGTATAGAACTAAAAATAAGTATATATTAAATTGCAATAGCTGTGGCATCTATCTAGTTTCTAAAATACCTATTCGTTGAAAAAATGTCATTTTAAACAGCGTTTGGTATGTATGCAATAAAACAAAATGGGTAAGACATTTTCGTCAACATTTCGTCGATATATGCTTAGCTCAGTGGCTAGGGCATCTCGATGCGTAGCCCAGAAGGCACAAGTTCCTACCTTGGAAGCGGCGAAAATATTTTTCGACGATATATATTTACACGTTTTATGTTTTTGAATTCAATTACTGTATAAGGAGGCGCTCGGCTGCCGAAATCTATAACGAACTTCGGTATATAAATCGCCCAAGCATGTAGACTTGGTCCTTACTGCTCAGTTGCCTCCAAGAAAAAAAAAAATCTGGTTCTTGTTTCATTTAAAAGGCGTTATGGCTATCTGACATAGGTAACGTCGCGCGCCGTCAAGGTAATTCTTGATGATTAATATAATGATTGCATTTTTATTTTTGCACAATCGTTGTAAGTTGGACCGTGGGCAGATAAGACAAACTTAACAGTAGATACTTCTACTAAAATTTTACCTCAAAAAAAGTCCTGCCGTCACTGTATTCAAATCATTAATAAATTATTATCACTTTGGCCTTTACGAAGCCTCCTGCGATCAAAAGTGAAATAAAACTACAATAATCTTCGAAAATAAAAAGAAATTGTGCGAAATTGTGGTGCTACAATCTCGGATAGATTTAATGACATTAGGGACCAAGGTAAAATACGTAAAAAAATTAATACAGTAGGTTATTATTGTCATGTCCTTAGCCTAATCGATCTCCAAGTACCAAGTTGTTGGCAAAATCACTGACGTATCAGTGGAGCCATAGTAGGAAAAAAAAATACGTAAAAAAATTCAGCGATTAATTAGTTTTGATCTATATTAGAATTCTATTAAGTTAAATATAGTAATAAGAATGTCGGAAACTTCTCGATTAAGCATGTGTTACCTCAATTGTTGTGAAAACAATTTTCTCTATAGAAGAAAAGTACTGCTCCCATAGCAATTGTGTTTGTTGTCTCAAAGCAAGAATACGCTCAGGAGGAACTGAGCGTACAAGCTCTGGTACCTGAAAATAGAACATGGAGACATGTTAAATTGCAGTATAAATAATATATAATTTTGTTTTACAAATTTAAGAAAATAAGTCGTCGTTCATTAAAATGATTAAAAAATGACAGTTTTTTTTGATGCTTGAAGTTATTCTTTCAATATTGATCGTAGTTTAATTTTAAATGTCAGAACATCATGACTCAGCATAAAATCTTTTAGGATATCCCTTTTGTGTGCCTTTCGCCAATATTGCAATTATTTTTGTTGGGATTAATTTAGCCCATCTAGATGGGTCTGGCTGGGGTGGGCACAACATGAGAATAATTTTGTAAGCGGTTTTGGCTATGTTTTTTATGACCAGCCGCCTGCCTGCCTTATATGTGGATTTGTCACACAAATACTTATTCTATGTGGGAATCGAATCCACGATCCCGACGCCGAACCTGCCTTAGCAACGCCGCACCGATTCATCACTTACTAATTTACTTTTTCCAATTATTCATCATCAATACTCATTCTTTTATAGGAATATTATATAATCTTTATCTTTATATCATCCTTAAGATAACTCCATTCCCTATCCTATTCCTACCAACTAGTTTCTTTTTCCCATATCCAAAAACTCATGATTGAGAAATCATAATGATGTCAAGAATATAACATACCTGCAATAAAAGACGTTCATCTGCCCAAATTACGGCACGTCGCCAGTCAATACGTTCGTCAAAAGGTAACCTCCATCCATTACTCAAAAGCACTGGAACACAACCTGCAGCAAGTGCTTCTAAAAATCTATAAGATCCAAGCCTTCTTCCACGGGCAACTAGGCAAAATGTGGAATTTGCTAATAATTGTTCATAATCAAATCTGAAAATAGATTTTTTAATTTTTAACTTTTACAGTAACATAATGACACATTAGCATTTTGTTTTTACATATGCATAAGTGTCACTACATAGTATAAAACAAAGTTGTCCTGATTTGATGTGGTTTTCTTTAATAGATAAGAGTGATTCAAGAGGAAGGTATATATGTATAATTCAGGCATAATACAGTAGAGAAACACTGATAAGTTTACAGGTTTCTAATGCAATGTCAAAAACAAACATTCAACAATGCACCCATGTGAAGCCGGAGCGGGTCGCTAGTAAATAACAATTAGAGTTAAATATTCCACTAAATCATTAATAAAACTGTATTGTAAAATCTGACTGGGAATTATTATTGTAGATATAAGACGATGATGGAAAAAATAAATTAAAGTGTATTAAATAAATTCAAGAATAAGGTAAGATATATGAATATATTAGACAAATTAATCCACCAATGTTTTATTAATTATTTTAAAAACATTTTGAATAACAACGCTTTGAATAACTTAAGAAAAATTTAATACAGTATTAAAATATCTTATAATAAAGTATGTAGTAAATAAAGTTATTATACAAAAAAAAGCTATATACATATATACTCAAGCAATTTGAGTAAGATCCCCGGTGTCGGCACCAATGAAGCTTTTAACTTTAAGTGCTGTCTTATCACATGCTCCGCGGTGAAGGTAAACATGGTGAGGAAACCTGCATATTTTCGAAACATATTTTCATTTTTTACACAAGCATTTAATATATTTCGAAGATATGTGAAGTCCGCCAATCCGCATTGAGGCCGCGAGGTGGACTATGCCCTAATACCCTCTAATAACCTTTTTATTTTTTTATTTTTAGTGATTTAATTTGAATACTTAGGTATTATAAAATATGGGTAGACCTAGCAAAGACGCTGCTCTTATGAAAAAACGGGGACAGAAAAAGGAAAACAATTCAAATCATCATCATCGTTCTGCCCTTATCCCACCTAGGTGGAATTGAACCGACGACCCCTGACGCCGAAGCCAACAGCTTAGCAACGGCGACACCGAGTCATTGATTATATGATTAAAAACATAATATAAGGAAAGAAAATGTCTAAGCATTTCTAATAAGATGGATATACATTTATTTACAAAGATTACCAATCTTGTTAAATATTTTTTCCTATATGGGAATAAGGGGAAATATTGGGATGAAAAATATGTTTATGGAATATAAATAATAGTAGATGGTGGTGACAAATACACTTGGTACAGAAGTGCCTGTTATCAACCAATTATTGTTTTGTTTATAGGGCTTAATAAATTTTATTTAAAAATAAAATTTGCTAAAAGTAAGAGTTATAGCTGAACAGTTTTTTATGAAAAAAATCTTACTTGTCATATTCTTTATTGTCTTCATCACATCTCTCATCTCTCAAGTCTTTCCAAGATTTTCCATGGCGACATGTTGTCACTAATATAAGGTTATTACCATCATGTAAATGCCACAAGGAGTTTCTTGTTTCACTTCCAATACCATGTACATATCGTTTCCCTTTAAATGCTAGCAGATGTCGTTTTGGTGCTGGAAATGGATTAGCAGTAGCAGCAGGTGCGGCTCCACCTTTCTCAGGGTGTTCTTTGTGAAACAATGGTAAAGAAATATCAAAACCATCACGAAAAATAGTTTCTGATGCACTAGCCCTGGCTAAAATAGCTTCACCTGGATCAAAACCTAAAGCATTTTCAGCATAATCAGGCCATGTGCCTGCATATAAATTAAAAATAAGATGATTACGCCCATTTTTCCAGTACGGCAACCGAGACAATCTTTGGGCTACATCGGGAATGTGTTCCGGTGATAAAGGATCAGCATCTAAAGTGTCAACAGCAGGTAAAAATAAGCACGCCTCATTAGGGTCTCTTGTAGCATATCTAGATTCTCTTAAAACTGATAATACTTTGCGATATGTAGCACTTACTGGACCGTCAGTCGGATATACATAAATTTTTGGATCATCACCGCATTTTGAAAAATCAAAACAAGTTTCCATTCGACATGGCTTCGCTGTGGAGTGTGGGTTTCTTTTTTGTCGAGAAGGTGCTTCATATAATTCATCAAGAGTTGCAAACGTAGGTAGTTGATCACGACGACTGTTTTGAACCAACTTAGATTTAAAGCGAAAACCACTAAAATAACCGTATATGATTAAGCTTAATGAAAATAAAAGTATAACATAACGCTTCTTAGCCTGCATAACGGATATTAAATTTATAATTAATTGGTACTCAACTAACGAATTTCCATCTTGCTTACAAAGACTATCCATATAAAACTTTCTATTCTTATAATAAATTATACTACTCTAGATCCCAAATTCTATATTTATTATATAATCAACATATGCTATCATTGCGCACCTAAACCCTATAACTTTCCGTGTGATGAACCATTTTAATAAACAATAAAAAATTCAAAATACAACCAGCCGAATGAAAAGAATATTATTATTTACTAGGTGGGTAGTTTCAACTGTCACTGTCACTGTCATTATATGCCAATTGCCAAACAAATTCACTTCTATGGAACACTAACACCGAGAAAGTCATTGGGTACTATAGTACCAAAGAGTACATTATTAATAGAGTTATCAGTGTCCTCGTGAGACAGCGCCTCTGTGTCAGTGATACTTTACCGAACTACAAGTTCAGAGATGTATATACTTAGCTATACTTTTAACCATTTTGTTTTTATAGTTGAGAGCTGTATTCAACTACAGTTTTCTATGTCGTGTATATAAAATTTATATTTGATAACTTTGTACAGAAAACTGTAATTAGGTACAAACTTGGTGGATGCTATTTTTGGATAAAGTAAATAAAACACAGAAATATGTTTTTCTAACTTTATTGCGTTTTTTATAATATTCACTAGCAAATTTTTTATGAAATCTTTGTTATCAATGAATAAAAATAAAATACCCAGAAAATTTTAGAATAAATTTAATATAAACATAATACATATGTGATAGATGCACCTTTTAAATATAAGGTTGTAATTGCATTTGAACTTAATCTTCTGCTCCTGGTGTGATACTTCGATTCAAAGTGCTTTTGACATACTTTTGTTATAAATGTATTGGCTATCGAAAATTAGTAAATTTCCTCCAATCGCTTGAATTCATGTTTTAAATCTGTCACGATCATTTTCATGATGAGAAAAAGAATACAAATTTGCGTTGAAGTCTTTATCTGCAAATAAAAACATTATAAATATTTTGCCGTAACGTATGACAAAATAAAATAAAAAATAATACAGGAAATTACCACGTGTTGTAGTGCATTCACGAATACAATAAATTTTCATTGAAGTCATGATGCCGAAACCTAATCAAAAGCAAATCGAAGTCCAAAATCATGTGCAGGGTCAGAGATATCAATGTCCAAAGAGAAAACCAAAGTTGTATGAAAAAAAAAACACCAAAAACAATTGTGCACAAACTGCATATAGCTAACAGCAACAAGAGAAGAGAAACAAAACAAAGTTGAATAAAACCGGCCGCAGTTATGTCGGTAAAGTTCCATTACACTGTTTCAAATTACTTCCAGCTTTTTGTTTAATAAAATACAATTTTTTCCTAAAAAAGAAGAAAACTTAAAATTGTTTTTTTTTTATAAATTTATTTTAACTTAAAAAAAAAATTTGTTTTTAATTTAATGGTACCAAAGATAAAATGGTTAAGCATTTCAAATAACGCTATCTGTATTTGACGGATGGAACTAAACGGAATTAGCAAGCTCCATACAAATATCAAATGTATGGACTGAAATGTATGGAAAGGAAAAGTTCGAAAATATTGTCACCGTCGTGGGAATCGAACCCACGTAGGTTCCCTTCGGCATTCGCGGCCTGACGCTTTAGCCACTAAGCTAAACGGCTGATTGCCACACCGACGAAAATCTTAACGTGTTTTATCGACATTATTTTTTTTAGCATTTGAAGCAATGCTTGGCGCATCCATTGTTATATCCTTTCCAGCATACAAACAATTTCGAATATCGTTTTACAACGATAATTCAAACGAGAGATGTCGCCATTGCTTTTTTAGAAACTTAAATTATTTATAGTGCTAATATTTACACTTAAGACTGAACATTGAGTTGGTATTTCATTAGTAATTTTTTGAGAACAAATATATCGGTTTTAGTGGGCACTCTACTGATTTCGCTGGCTATAAATGGGCCCATTCACTATCCTGCCTGGCCCAGTCAGATTAGCTACCGATCAACTGTGACGGAACCAGTTATGATGGCAAGCCTATTGTTGACTACTAGGCACATACCACTGAGGATTTTCTGACTAGTTGGTTTTGGTTTTTTTATCAGGATCTTATGCTTATGCTGTGAGACAACCAAGGCAGTTATGAATAATAATATTAAAAATTGTATTAGGATAACTTAACATGGGAATATGAACCTCTTTTGATATTTTCATAACTCATGTGCTAAAAGCAGTAATGCTGTTATTATACTAGATATGTGAGATGTGTATGAGACTACTACTTACATTAAGCATACAGATGTTATTAGTAGTGCTGAATCCATGTATGATATTGACAAACAGTTGACATCAACATTAAATTAACGACTCTTAAAACTCTTCGTAAAACTAATTTGGAAAACAATATAATCCACACAAAAATATTTTCAGAATAAGTAAATATTTAGCTAATTTATATCTATATGTTACTGGTACAAAGAAAGTTACAAATTAAAGCAAAAAATTACACAATTAAGAAGTAAAATTAGTTGACTAAGAAAAAGAAATAAGAATTACAAAAAGAAACAGCAAATATATTGAAAGCCATGAAGAACACGAGTGTTTTAGCTAAAATGTATATTCAATAATAAGAAACACTAAAATATATAAAGGGACCGGCTGAAATGATGTTTGGACGATACAACAATGAATATTATTTTGTAAGTCGGTACCGATCGATCAATCTAATTTAATGTGGGAAACAGTTGTAAGATCAGTGTAAAAATGTTATTTTAACAATTATAGATAAAATAAAAGCAAGAAATAAATAACATTGTTTTACTTTCACATGTAATTGCTACTTCATTCTTAATATACTTTAAGTTCTTCATAATTATAAACGTTTATCTATTAATGTAGCTATATATTTTATTTATATAATAGTTACATTTAATAATTTCACAATTTCGTGATGAATGCCTCATCAGTAAGCCTCATCATTAAATTGTGAACTTATTAAATGTAACTTTTATAAAAATAAAATATATAGCTACATTAATAGATAGTACCTGGAGGACCGAGCTAGGCTCGGTTTTTTTTGGTAAATCATGTATTTTGGATATAAAAAAAAATAAAGAAAATGATTTTTTTGAATTTGACGACCCGAATGGCGTAGTCGGTAGTGTACCTGCCTTCTGCGCCAGAGGGTGTGGGTTCGATCCCCACTACTGGAAAAATATTGTGTGATGAGCATAGTGTTTTTCTAGTGTCTGTTTTTATATGTATAATGTGTATTTATTTACAAAAGAAAAGTATGGTTAAGTATGTCTAACAGTTTTCTAGTACCCATAGTACAAGCATTGCTTAGTTTGGGACTAGAGAACGTTGTGTAAAAAGTACGTTGTATATTTATTATTTATTTATATGGTATAGAAAAAAAAGTATTAAAACTAAGTGTGTAAATGATCGTGATACGAACCGCGGCCGTCTGTTTTGGGGCTGCCCGATTACCGACCGAGCTATTATAACATTTCTTTTTGCGGCGAAATATACTGTCATATTCGAATGATATTTTTCATTTCCTGAAAACAGGGATAAAAGGAGATTTTCTAAAAATGAAACCTAGCTAGATCGATTTTTCGCCCCCGAATCTACGCATATACTATATATATATATATATAATCGATCGAAAAATCGATCTAGCATATATGTATATATATATATATATATATATATATATATATATATATATATATATATATATATACATTCATTGTCGCGATGGTAACGACACGCTGTATATATATATATATATATATATATATATATATATATATATAGTTATCCGTTCTAGGAGTTGTTTGATCCAGCGTTACGTATGATCAGTTTTTTGTTGATCCGCTTAAATTTGTTGATCCATACCCGATTTGTTGATCCAATACCATATGTATGTGATTTAGTGGCTCCATTCGGATCAACAACTTCTCGTCAATATCTTTATGAAAGTAGCTACAATTTATACAAATCCACTCCGCACTTATTTGATCCAATTCAAACGGATGAATCACAGATCACAGCAGCATTCATTGGTCGAAATCATCACTTTACGTCAGTGCCTACTTATTAAGAAGAATTACTGTATCTCGTGAATGTGATATTTGTTGAAATACATGCTTTAAAGGGCCAGCAATATCTAGCGCTCGCGCACTTTTCAGATTCACGTGCAAAACAACCATTATATTTTAATGAAAATTCGTTGCGCGCGTGATAGATTATTTAAGAATTTACATATTATTAAAAATTATTAATGAAAAAAATATTGGTATCAATACTCAACTGTTAATTATTAAATTCAATATCATTAAATGAATATAATAAAATGAATGTACTTCTACTTCAAATTTTTAAAAAATAATGTTGAAGAATAAATAAGACTTCGAGTGTTCTAGTCGTATCTTCAATAGTTTATAAGTAATTTTAATAGCAATGGAGACTACTTGATAGGTAACAACAAGTCCAAGTGTACAATATTTTTAAAAATTATATAAAAAACAGAAAAATCATAAACAAAATTTTTCGTAATTCGTTTGTTAATAGACAAGCGTCTGTTCACAAAACCAAATAAAAAATGAATTAAATTATAATTTTTTTATGATGTAACAACGTGATAAATTATAATTTTATTAAAATGGTTTCATAATGTTAACACTAAGCAACAAAAAATTGTAATTTAGAAAAAGCGTTTTTAGCAGTGAAAATGTTTTTCTTAAATGTCATATTTTCATTAAGCATCATATTCCTAAAAGAAAAAAATTGAAAATCTTATAAGCAATGTATTTATTTATAATAATTACAATTCAACTAATTTTTTTTAAAGGAACAGAATAATCAAAAAATTTTAAAAAATCTTGATTGATTTATTAACGTTTTTCATATTTCAATGCCTTAGATTGGTAATAAAGCAATGAAAAATTAGAATTTTTTTTGGCAATCTTTTCTAATCTCTTTCAAGAAGTGACAAAAATTTTCTGGGTTAGACTACATAGAAATAATCTTAATTTTTTTTTCGTCCTATTATTATTTATTCATGTCTCTAGAAAGAACTGTATTTTTTATTCCTTAATATTCTATTTTATTTGGTTAAAATAATCTTTTAGAGTCCCTTTTGATGTAAAGATTTGTTCGATAAATCGCACATTATCTCTTAACTAATCTAACTTTAACCCACTGAATAGCACTAGCTTAAATAACACTATTGATTACATAATAAATAATAATAATTTATTCTCTTGTAACCAAACTCATATTTGATAATGAGTTGAGCATGACTTGTAAACAAATTTAACAGTTAAAATTAAACTAAAATATTGTCATCCTCGTCTCTTTAAAGAAATTTTCACACTACATCATTTGTCGCATTACATTGCGACCGTTGTTGATCCGTTTCCTAGTGCAATAGTATCAATATATTGTACAACTAGCTTGCGCCCTCGGCTTCGCCCGCACATTATATCGGGCTTAAAAATACCTATGGAACCCATCGTGCGCAACTCCAAGTCGCACTTGGGCGATTTTTTTTAACTTTACATCATTTTACAGACCATAGTTAACTATAGTTTCATCGCACAAATCTACAATGTGGTTCTTTAAGTTGATATAACTATTTTATTTATCATCCGACTTAAATAAAACTAACAATAAATGTTAAGAGAAGCTTAAGACAATGCATTTGTAAAAGTTGCACTGAAATCGGAAAGGCCGTTTTAGCCAAGTTAGCGCACACAGACAAACAGATAAACAGACAATAATTTTAAATATCATTGATTTGGTTCATTTCTACTGCGTTGATAAAGATATATAAAATAATAGTTTTTCTCAAATATCTTCCATATACAAACAACAATCAGTAATTTTTTTTTAAATGTATGATATTCTTTGAGCTCATAGTTCGCCGCCGTGCCAGTTGCTTAAATAGACTCGGGACAATATTTGGATGCCTACTTAGGAGTACAGCATTTTGGGCTTCACCTCAATCGAATTAATACAGGCTGCATGTGCTAACAAGCATAACAACAAAACTATACACTTTATAGTAAGTAGGTATTTTGATAATGTCCCAAGGATTCATTAATATCAAGCGATAATATCTACAATATTAAAAATATTTATTCACTAGCATCCTATGGTAAACTAATTAATAAGAAATAGGGTATAACCATCTCTTTGTCAATTATATTTATCTAGGTTATTATATTAGACATATAGTAACAGTTTACTCAATAGAAAATGTACATAGAAATTCAGTTCTTATTACAAACACTGTGGAATTAATTTTACGAACACTGACGTCGAGCTGCGTATGCGCGCTCACAGGGATCAAGAAATGTTTAAAAAGTGCCTGAGTAAAAACCGTTACGCGGAGCCACAAATACTTTGGAAAAGTATTTGTGACACAATACACAGGTATACAAATATATGCTTTCCGGCCTATAAAATAAAGGTTAAGGGCAAGTAAATTTGGACAGAAAGGTGGATCAACAAAGTACTCTTTTAATTTTGCTGGATCAAACAAGTTATGGAAAAGGACTTTATATATATATACAAAAATTGCTCGTTTAAAGTATAAGAGATACGTATATACATCATATAGGTATATATATATAGAATGTTTCGGAACAAGAGATATAGACGTCGCTAGCCCGCGGTGTTGACCAAAATAATATACGAGATAGCTCTCTATTTCTGTAGTTTTACTATTCTATGGTCGGTGGTGTGGCCGTCCTGCATACCGGCAGTGCTGCCATATGAAGAAAAAAAGATGCACTTAGCCCATAGCGAAATTGCGCCATATTATACGAAAATACGGATGCTAAATTAGGAATTTTTTTTCGTAAATTTAGACAGTACATATTTACAACAGAAATTTTGTTTGAGGTAATTGCTTTAGAAATATTTTTAGGAATTAAATTTTATTCACATGTGTAAAAAAAATCTACACAGGACTAGGTATTTTATTTTAAACAAAAAAAATACGTGTGCATCCTGGGACGCCCGACTGATGTGATGTGATAACTAAAACTAAGCTAAAAAACTTTTTTATATTGAAGTAGTTCAACTTGAGAAAAGCTTATTACCTAAATTTTATGTATGTTAGTATGATAATGTGAGGAAAGGTAATTTATTAATAAACACATTTATCTAACAACAAAAAAAAAAAACAGCAGAGTCTCTGTTTTCTTTTTTTTTTCGAAACTACGTAAATACATAATTATTACAACAATAACACTGACACTATGGGTTGAGAAACGAAACAGTACTGATTTCAGTATACAGCGTGAACACACATATAGGGGATAACTTTTTAAAGTTGTTTTAATCATTTAAATTCTTTAAACATCAATATTTACAGAGTTATTAAATTTTCCAAAAAAAAGAATTTTAGAACACCCTTGCCTATAAAATCGTAACGTAAAGTTCATTTTTAAAGGTCACAAAGCACATGAATGGGTTGAATGAATTTAAAAGAGACAAAACATACTGTTAGAAGGAGAGGCTTGTAATGCGAGTTGTATAGGATGTTACAAATTTTGTTTCTTTTTTACTTAATTACTTTGTTTGAAAAATATTTTTTTTAATTATGGATTTTGTTTAACGTTAACATTTTTTATGATTATTGGCAATTAGCGTTAGACGTGTGTTCATATATTGTCGCGATGGTAATGACACGCTGTATATGTCTTATCTATGGTACTGATGATAGACGGCATGCAGGATATTGTGTGGGCTACATCCTGCTTTGCAGTCCTTCACGGCGGACTGTAGGCATGAGATATACCTGCAACAACTGTAAGGCTATCGCCGTATGTGCTAAAACCCAGTATCAAAATACCTATAGGTATTAGTTATGTTCAGGCCTCCTTTTGGAGACTCGATCGAATCAAACGAACCTTTGGTTCGAATGGGAACATTTAGATGTTTTTTTAGCAATCAGTTTTTTTAAATTGAGATTGAATCAGTCTAAAATAAGCTTCATCTTTACTAACGTTAAGAACCCTATTATCAAAAAAAAAGTAATTCAAAATAAATATTACTGTTTTACCTTATTACGCAATTATTTATCTACCTAATTGTCATAGAAATAAAGAATAAATTTATCTCAAGGAATTATTTGGTATAAAATGCCTAAATCATACGTACCTATTCGGTCGGCGGGTTGTCGCGAGCGTTATGTTATATACCGCCACCGTCGGACGAGGCGGCCATACCTATCAGGTATGGAACGGGCCTCTGCCGTACATACCCGGTGTGCGTACTGGTATGTTCATACTGGGTATTTATACCTGTGCCAGTATATACGCCTCATCCCTAATGGACTGCCAGGCAGGATAGGAATGGGCCCCTTAATTGTTTTTTTTTTAAATTTAAAACTTAAAACAATAAAAAAAAAGATAATTTTGCCTCAAATATTTAATCCCATTTAACATTTTATTTCAATCAAATCTGTTAAAAAGTTACGAAATTTATTTACGTATTACATAGAGATGGTTGTTTACAAAAATCATTTAAAAAATGAAATTGATATAATCGATTTATTATTATTTATTTATTTTTGTGGGACGACCCCCCACTAGATGGAGTGACGACCTGTACAAATGTGCGGGAAGTCGATGGATGCAGGTGGCTCAGGATCGTACTTCGTGGCAGTCTATGGGGGAGGCCTATGTTCAGCAGTGGACTCAAACAGGCTGAAATGATGATGATGATGAATCGATTTATTAAGAATCAATTGTTATTATTGAAAATAATTTTCAAAACTATCAGAAATTAAACAAAAATTACAATATAAGAAATAAAATAAGAAAAAACATAATCGATTAATATAAAAATCGATTTTTTTTTCACATCCCTCATTTTAGTTGCCGCTTGCCCACAGAGTACTTTAGTATAAACTAAGTAGTATAAACTAAGTAGAATAAACTAAGTAGTATAAACTGCGCTTGCCAAAAGGAACTCTGAATTGACCAGCAGAATCTTCATAATTGTTCTTCTTTTATGAATGATCAGAATGATCTTCCTATATGAATGATCAGAAATCAAAATGCAAGATTATCAAAGAGTACATTAACTAGATTTCTGAAATTAGTGTTCTGTTCTGTGGTAATTTAGACTTAAAGGCTTTATCAGATATTTAAAAGTACTCTTTGCAGTCTAGATAAGTTACTCTATGATTCGGCCGAAATACCAAGCGAGTTGCTACTAGAGTGATAATTTAGTATATAATTTAAATAAGGCATTTAAGTAAATTTATTTTTATTTGAATTTACATTTACCTTTATTTTTTAGACCAGCTTTTTAATCTTAAAAAATAACTATCTAATCGTAGTACATTAAATAATTCTGTAAAAATATGGATGATAGCGACTTCAAAGCAGCAATGCCCAAAACACCATTAAATTTTTATACCAGGTTGTACTGCAAAAAAAGAAAATTATTGGGTAAAGTGAAAGTATGTAACATTGTATGCATTTTTTTATTATCTTCAATCGATTTAACTGCTTTCTGAATGATTATTTCCTATGTTTCTATCAAGGGACATACAGTTTTAATGGAGGCTACAAAATCATGGCTTTCCTTAACTAAAAGTGAAAAAGAAGTATTTATAACAAAATATAATAGTGCTCTGACAGAATATAACAAAAAAGTTGGTGAATATTTAAAAAATGCTGAACCATATTTGAAGAAAAGGGATCCTAAACGGTTTGTTTTGATTTTTCATACTCTACAGTAACATGGTTCCCTGAACAACATCATTTGTGGGGCTCTTGTTGTCATCAATGTTCCTGTTTCCGCAACAATGGCATGAGACCCGACGGCTTGACTTTCATCCCTTGGCAAAGCCCTCGATTGGGATACTTGTGTAGAAACTTTAGCTGCCTTTCATCTAGGGGGTACTTCGATTAGGATCAGGGTGTCTTCGGAGGCAGCTAAAGTATGTGGCGCAAATATGTCTCTTTGTTAAGATTATTTATTTGTGCCATTTGCTATTGAAACTGGGTCCATGGGGTCCCCAATAATCGAAATTTTTGAAAGGTTTAAAACCAAGCCGTGGCCGGTGACAAGAGGGCTAGTTCTTTTCTTGCTCAAAGATTAGGCATAACTATTCAGCGAGGAAATGCAGATAGCATTTTTGGCACCATCTAACTATGTTTATTAGATAATATGTCATTTAGATAGATTTAAAGTTGTAAAAATTATTCAATATAATAAAAATGTACTAAATTTTTTTTATTATTTTTTACACTAAATGTTTTGTTGGTGATTATGAAATTGAAGATGTTATTCTTCAAACATAAATAAAAACAAATTAACATGCACCCATGGAGGTAGGTCACAAACTAGGATACTAATTTTGAATATACTTCATTGTACACAACTTTAACTGCCAACTTTAACTGCTTTAGCTAGCTATTTTATTTTTCAGCCATTTGAGGTTTTATTCTTTTATAGAGTTGACTTAGCTCATATTCGATAAGTGATAATAAGGTATGATAATAAGGGGTGAAAAATCAATCTAGCTAGGTTTCATTTTTAGAAAATGTCCTTTTATCCTTCTTTTCAGGGAATGAAAAATATAATTCGAATATGACGATAAATTTCGCCGCAAGAGAAAATGTCATAATAGCTCGGTCGGTAATCGGGCGGCCCCAAAACAGACGGCCGTGGTTCGCGTCACGATCATTTACACATTTATTTTTTTACTTCCAGATCATTTTTCGATTCCAGATCATTGCTTTCTTTATTTTTAATTTTTTGTCGATTTGTTATTTTGTAATTTTTTCCCTTTTTTTTTAAGTTATTTCTTTTGTGAAAAACATCAGTTCGTATTTTCTTATTATTACATCGGTAAAATCGAAAAATATTATGCATATTTCATTACTCAGTAATTTGTATCTAAATGTAATTTCCAAAATACATGATTTACCAACCTAGTGGTCCTCCGGGTACTAATATATCTATACACATATAGTGGTTAAGTAAATTTTGCTTTTCCAATGATGATATAAATATAGTTATATTTTACAGCATACAATTGACAAGATAAAACTAAAATAAACTTTTTTCTTCTTCCCACACAATAATTATGTTATCTTTTCCTTTCAGATTGAAAAATGCAGATGTTCTTCAAAGCAATATCAACACTCAAAAACTAGAAATTAGTTTTAATAATGAAGGTGTTGAAAATATTTTAGGAGAATCTTCACGAATTGTTAATTTTTCCAATTCATCAGTTAATAATATGTATGTTATAACAATAATTATATAAAAAAAAATTAAAAGTAATATTGAAATAACAAATTACTCATAATGTATTTCTGTATCTAGGTTGCTGCATTATTTCTTTCTGCAATATAGCAACAAAAATTTCTTCCAGGTCTGAAGATATTGATAGAGATAGACAGCAATTAGTTATCTCTACTAATAAGCATGATATAAATAATGTACCCATTCGAGAGAATGTTCCTGAACCTATTCTGCCAAAAGTGAAGTAAGTAAACTCTTAAATCTATGAATATACTCTCTTTCGACGCTTCCACATTCAGATATCTGTGCAAGCATATTCATTTGTAGTTGGCCTTAATAAACTGGTTTTTTGAAGATATCTTCTAACAAAGTTAAACTTTCCTTTTTACAAGGTATTCAAATGTTGTTACATTCTTTAATTTTCATTCATTCTTTTTTTAAATATGTAGTAGGTGTCTTTTTTTTTCAAAGCAACTTAGTTACAATTTACAAAATTGACAGACTCATTTCAAAAAGAGTCTAATATAAAGGTAATGATTTGATCTGGCTCATCAAAAGTACAAACTTCTCTAATTATTCCACTTACTCGCTTTTTGTAAAAATTATGCAAATAATGTGAATGAAAAATTGAATTTGCAGATCAGCCAAAGATCTCTATGAAATTTTGACAAAGAATGAAGATAATTGTGATCCCTGGGAATCTCTAGCCTCAATTGAGAAAAGACGGTATCAGAGGGCTGTCCTTTCTATTAAAAGGAATTATATAAATTCTTACAGGGCCTTTTTAGAAAGTTTAAGTCCCGAGGAATTGTATGAGTATTATATGAATAATAAAGATTTTAAAAAATAATTATTTTATTTTCAATAAAAATCCAAAGATGGTTTATAACTTATGTATCTAACTTTTTGATTCTAAACACTACAGTATAATCTTTTCCTGTTATATAGAGGCTTAAAGATATTTTTACTTATTCCATTATACTCCAAAACTATCCCAAAACAATATTAACTGCTCTGGAACAGACCGAGGCCGAAAAAATTCCGGGATCGCGGGTGTATGTAAATTAGCGACTCAAGCGACCAACGGATCGCCTAAATAATCTACACATTAATAAGGCGCAATTACGTGAGAAAATAACGAAGTGAAGCCCAACACACCGGTTGAACAACCACTCCACATCAAGCAATGGTTCGTCGCGCGGAATACCAGTCAAAGGCAGAGTAACCAGTCGCACCAAAATCACCGCTTGTCGAACCAGCTTGGGAGGCGCCATCGCAAGACGAACCGATGCTGTGATTGGTCGGCGCCGGAAGATTAGCGTTTAAGTAATAGTTAATTGTTGTACCAATGTCAGTGTATATATATATATGTAAATAAAAATTTGTACGATACGGCTCAATTCTGATGAACAAAAATAAACGTCTACAAGGAATAACTCTTTTATTGGAAGAACACTCAAAATTAAATACAGCCACTACAATACCGTCAACTATTCTCAAATCGTTTCGTAAATACCCGAATGCACCTTACTATAACGAGAAATTGTATATGCAATAAAGTGGTAATCCTCTTATATTCCTATATTAATGGTGACACCGAATTAGGGAACAATTTGTGTGGAACAGGAACTTTTATTTAAGTTTGAACATAACAGGTACAGTTTGTTATACCTGTTATATTTAACTGTTACGATAAATACGCCTCACTCCTTAACGTAAACACACTAACAGGTATGTTAGAATTTTCGTTTACCAGTCAGAATTGGTGTAGTTAATGCTATCAACTAAGGTCGCATAGTTTACTTGAATATACATCTTAAAACATTATTCCAAGGACTATTATTAATATCCTCAGTATTTTACAATAAAACTATTTCAAAATTAGATTCTGTTTTGGTTGTGTAAGTGCAACTCCGAAGTATGCTGGGGTAATTCTGAATGACATTTAAAATTGAATTTTACTGAGCTGTAACAAAAGATACATATTTATTTTTCGTCCTCATTTACCCTTGCAAAATATATTGTTCCCTACTATCCCCTGAGTAGCTAAAACATACTCATGTGACCTTTATATTTCGGAATTACTCGATATTTAGTGCAACTTCGGTCTACGGTTCCCAAACTTTAGGGACCATGGTAAATGATAAAGTGTGTGAAATAAAATGAAATACGAAGAAGTATCAAAATTTTATTTAAAGTAAAATAATGGAATTATTGAGATCCAACATAAATGATTCAAAGCATAATTGAGTTATGAGTGGCAAAATAAATATAACTAAAAAAAATAAAAAACTGTCACCTAGTTCGAAACATTTACCTAAAAATTCACAGTGTGCTCTTTCTGCAAACTACAGACAATTCGAGTCACATTTTTGATAATGTAATCTTGTAAATTCATCTATAACTATGAATAATTAATTTAAAACTTTAGTTTATTAGTATAATTAGCAAGATTTTTTGCCAAAAAATTTTGAAAAAAAAATCTGATTCACTACCACTCTACCGACGAATCTAATGACACAATTTTTTTGAATTAATAGCCCTTAAGGCCGCAATAAACGTGACTTCCCAAAGAATTGGCTATATTCAAAAATTATGAAGCCGAAAACTGTTAGGGTAAAATTAAATTGAATGAAATTGAGTTTGTTTTTCGTATTCTTTATTTATCTATTTATTTACTTAACACATCACGCACGCGGGTCTTCTGCATGCCCTTGAGGGGCCTGCAGGTACGGGTATCGAGGTATTCCCTCATGACCCGGGCTTCATCTCGAGGGCCACTTAGTGCGCCTCGGTATTCGGTAAACTTTAGAGTCACGCGTTATTTCCACACTGTTCGCGTCCGATACTAGGAGCCATTGACCGGGGGGACGGTGCGCCCCTTGAGACAATGCCCGGGTTATGGGGTTCGATTCCCCGATGCCCGTACCTGCACCTGCCCGACTCCTAGGGCAGTGTGTGGACGACCCGTGTGTGTGTGGTATTCGGTGCCTTGTATGCACAGCTAGTGTTGTCGTCGTAGTAAACGGCGACATGTATTTGATTTAAAACGCCTACGTTGTTGCGCACCGTAATGTTCGGCGAGTCAATGGGTAATTGCGCGCATGAAAGCGTTTCCTGGGTCTTCCCCTCTTGCAATAGCTGCTAGTGTGGTTGTCATGATAGTAGTGATGGTGTTCGAGAATCTTTCGATAAATGCGTGAGTATCTCCTCCGGTGATTGGGCTTCATTTGTTCTTTGGTTTTCTTGTAGGCGAGAGGGGTGGCGTGTGTACGCCTGCTACGTTCGCTTGATGTTGTAGCTTATCCGCCGGTTGTTTGTGCCTGGCGGGGATGAATGGCTTCTTGTGTGGGGGCGGAGGGGGCGGCGTTGTAATGCCGGCGCCGGCTCCGCCTCCATGTTGGATGTTACGCGCTTGTTGTGACGCTATGGGCCCTTGGCGCCCGCGACGTCTGCGTCGGTGGCTTCTAACTCGGCTGGTTGCCGGATTTGCTGGCGGCTGTAGAGTAGTGACACTTGTTGTCGTTCTCAGAGGTGGTCTTGTTTCAGCGGCAGCGTTCGTAGGCAAATGCGATGTAGCTGGTATAGCAGCGCTGACTATATCCCTCCGAGTGGTTCGCACTGCGGTACGGGTTTGTACACCAGTGTTTTGTACACCAGTGCTTGCGTATACTCCCGTGTCACTGTTCGACGGGAGGAAATCTGAGGTGGGGGGGGGGGGGGGGGTCGGTTTCCCCCCGATTGAATCTTATGTTGCGATTATTTTCACGACCCACGGTTGTCCATCCGTTCTCTTGGGGTGTCATTCTAGGGAGGGGGGGGGGGGGGGGGGGGTTCAATTTTATACCCCGCTTTCTCGCTTCCCTTATGAAGGCGGGACATCTTCGTTCATTTGCCGGGTGCCGTTGACCGCAATTTGCGCAGCGTGCTGGTGTCGTTAACGGTAAAGGACAGCTAGAGGCTATGTGGTTGCCTGCACATCGGACGCATACTACCGGCTTATGGCAGTTTGCCGATGAATGCCCGAATTGCTGACAGCGGTGGCATTGAGGGGGGCCGGTTCTGCCTTTCCAGCCTTCCACACTGATGCCAGGCATGTTCAGCAATTCTTGTATTGCGTATAATTTTGCGGCTTCATGATTAGGTAGGCGTTCAAGTTGTACATAAAAAGTCCATCTATTGCGGTTTCTTAGCGGTGGTATAAGCTTCGCGTACACCGCTGGGAAGCCTAATTTTTGAAGGGCTTCAATGATGTCTTCGGGTAGCGTGGTTTCTGGCAACCCCCTCACTCCGACCTTGGTGGGGAGTTCAGCTGCGGGTGCATAACAGTGCCACTTTATACTACTGTTAACTTCGGTTGCCTCAGATAAATGCCGCTGAATGACTCTATATTCGGTGGCAGACTGCGGTAGGAAACGCATCCCTTTTCCGTACGTGCAGGCGTTGGGGGCGTGTCCTTATTTTTTTTCAATTCTGCGAAATGGGTAGTCCACTCGGGAAGGTGTTCAACTACAATTGGCGGGTAGCCCTTTTTAGTGGTTTCTTGATTAATGGCTTCATTTTCCGCTTGCGGTTGAGGCTGCGTCGATGTTGACGGTGTCGGTGTCGGTGCTTGTGGTGGGGTGGCTGCTTTGTCAAATGGTTGCGTAGGATGTGCTTTGTTGCACAACATCCATTGCAATTTCGCTTCGATCGGGTGAGCTATGGACCGAGTCGTAAGATGGCGATCGGGGCGGCTGCGAGTGTCTGGTTATGGCGGTCTTCTTAGGTTGGTGGTCTTCCTTAGAGTTGTTTGGGGATTCAACGATTCCTGTCTTTTCTCGTACAGTGACGCATCAGTCTCCGGCGGCGTATGACGCCTGCGGGCCTTGCGGCGGTGGTACGTCGTCGTGGCGGGGTGGATGCGTACAAAGACGCACCACCGTCGGCTTTGACTTCCGCCACCCCCGAGGTACTCGCGGCGTTCTTGTGGTATTCTTCCTCGCTTGTTGAGAGGTCTTCTTCTACCGGTGGTTGGTGGTGCTGCCGTTGCGGTCGCAACTTCTCCCTTGGGAGCTCAGCTTCCTCGGCGATAGGTTGGTCCACAATAGCAGGTAGACAGGTCCTCCTACGAGGTTTGGGGGGCGAGCTGCCCTCCATTCTTCGTGGTTCCGTCTTAGCCCGTGGTTGCGGGCGGTGTCAATTCCCCTGTGCGAGCTAGTATCTTGCTCCCTTCGGCGCGGGCCACTTAGCCGGATGAGACCCCTGAGGGAGGCCCAGCGAAGCGCCCAGCGAGCAGGGAGGGGTAGTTAGGCCGCAGCGTGAAATGGGAATCGTCGCGCTTCCCAGCGCGCGCACTGCCTGCCCCTTTCTAAGGAAAGGGGATACGCAGTGCGGGTCGCACACGTAGTCTCGCTGTCGCGGGGGCACGTGGTCTCGACGAGGCGTGTACGGCGCCCACGTCCCGGACAAGGTGGCCTAGGTTGCTCGACGCTTCACGGAGTTAGTACCTCGACGTTAGACGGAGTGGCTTCGGCGGACTTCGACTGGATGGCTTCAATCACACACGATGTCGCGGAACGGGCACTTCTAATAATTAAAACATTAAACAGATAGCTTCTATAGCCATATATTTAGGTGTACCTTAAAGAAACGCTAATTTGAAAATAAACTAATCCATTTAAACAAACAAGAATTAAAATATTTAAAACCACTGACTTTTCTTAGAGAAAATCAATATCGGGTAAATCCGAATTCTCCATAATTCGGATTTACTCTCTTTGGCGTATCACGAAAAAAGCAAAATAAGTGGAGATAGAGTTTTCAAAACCAACTTAGAAGTGCATGAAAACATAAATTTATCGTATTAAAAACAATTAGTTAAATAACTGTCTAGGTTTCTTTATTACGAATGTTCGGGTAATTCTGATAATCCTTAAAAGGCGGGAAATTGCTCTCAATCATAGAAATGTTGCGTTGAACACATGCACTCGCTCATAGCTACCTGAATCAACTGAAGTGGGGAAGAAGCGTATTAGGATGGCGGCTAGATGAACGTTGCCAGAGCAAAATTATTGCCGTATTTCATAATAAAAATTGTGATTATCAGAATATCCCGATTTACGTAACCGCAGGTAGAACAAAACCTCGGGCTCTGGTTGTTTCGTATTTCAACGCAAACGGCATAAAGGGTCAAAGGGATGAAATCGCTGAATTCCTTCGCGACTACAACGTAGATATTTTTCTAGTGCAAGAGACATTCTTGAAACCTAGTGTACGCGATCCCAGAATCGCAAATTACAATATTGTCCGCCACGACCGGTTAGCAAACCGTCTGAGAGGAACATTAATTTATTATAAACGGTCCTTGCACTGTTGCCCGCTCGACATTCCAGAGCTAAGTCAAATAGAGGCATCCGCGTGTAGGTTAGCGCTCACCGGCCACAGGCCGCTTGTACTAGTTTCAGCCTACCTCTCGGGGAATAGAACCTTACTTCAAAGCGACCTAGATACGCTTCTTAACTTAGGCCCTTCCGTGATAATTGCAGGAGATCTAAACTGCAAACACGGCTCATGGAACACCAACAGCATCCCAAATAACAACGGAAAGCATCTCTAGCTTATCCGATAACCTAAACTTTAGCATAGTCGCTCCCGCGACTCCCACTGGGTATCCTACGGTGGACATCTACCAACACGCGTCACCGAGTGTCCTAGACATCATGTTATTCAGTGAGGTCTCGCTCGACATCGAGTCGATAGAGACAATCCATGAACTAGACTCAGACCACAGGCCCGTCCTGTGTAAACTGGGCCAGAACGCCGGCGCGGTCCCTCCGACCAAATCCGTAGTGGACTGGCATCGTCTTGAGGTCAAACTCAAGGCCTTGGACCCCCAGGACTTAGTGGACTTACCCGAGACGATAGCTACGTTCGATGACGCAAATCGAGCGATAGCGAGTCTTCGAGAAACTATTACTTCCGCAGTCACAGACTCGGAACGGACGGTGAAACTGTCGGGCGACCGACGGTTTAACTTTCCGCCCGATCTAAGACTGCTAATTAGACAGAAAAATGCAGCCAAACGCGCCTTCGATCGATACCGATCGGAATCGAACCGAATCCTACTTCGACGCCTTCAGCTAGAAGTCAAAGATCGTGTATCGGAACACCGACACACAACGTGGGACACTCTTCTAGAGAACATCGAGCCATCGCACACCGCCTACTGGCGGTTGGCCCGCAGTCTGAAAGCAGACCCCCGCGAATCTCTACCGCCTTTAGTTAGACCTAATATCGCTTCAGTAGCCCTAGATGACTCCGAAAATGCCTTGCGGACAACCTAGAGCAGCAATGTACGCCATCGCGCGAACACACCGATTCAGTCCACCTTACGGAGGTGGACCACGTAATCGAGACTAGGGCTGCGCTTCCACCGGAAGGCGAACCTTTAAATTCAGTGACCCCCGAAGAGGTCCAAGATATTATTAAAAAATTTAAAACCAAAATCCGCCCCGGGCCCAGATAATATAAGTAATAAAATTCTCAAAGCTCTCCCTGGGCCGCTTATCTGTTTACTGGCGACCATTTTCAATACCCTTCTCTCCAATTGCTCCTTTCCGGACGACTGGAAGCAAGCCACGGTTATCGGCATTCGCAAGCCGAATAAACCAGCTAATCAGCCCTCTAGCTATCGTCCCATCAGCCTCCTCCGTTGCTTGGGGAAGCTCTACGAGCGGCTCTTGTTAAACAGGCTCAAAGAGCACGTATTTTCCAACGGCCTTCTGCCGTCGGAACAATTCGGCTTTCGAGCTAGACACTCATGTCCCGACCAGTTATACCGCCAAACGGAGCACATCCTAAACGGCCTAAACCACCCCAAACACATCAGCACAGGGGCTCTCTCCTTCGATGTCGCAAAAGCATTCGATAAAGTCTGGCACAACGGTTTGCTTTACAAGCTGTACACACTCAAAGTGCCAGATAGGCTCGTACACACCATCCGGGCCTTTTTGTTGAATCGCTCTTTTCGATATCGAGTCGAGGGCACCCTCTCCACAAGCCGCCGCCTCACGGCCGGCGTACCACAAGGCTCCTGCCTCTCACCTTTGCTCTTTACGCTCTACACGAGCGACATACCCAAAGACCCCCACGTCAATCTCGCGCTTTTCGCGGATGACACCGCGCTCTTTTATTCAGACCGCAACCTTAGAATACTAACCACTCGACTCCAAAGCCCCACCGACCGCCTCGGCGATTGGTTCTGCAAATGGAGAATAGAAATAAATCCCGAAAAGAGTGTGGCGATTCACTTCACACGAAGTACCTACCCGTCACATCATTATAATGGCCCTCGCCAATGCAGAAAGTTGGGGCAAATATCCCTTTATGGCCAACCGCTCCCCTGGGAGAAAAAGGTCAAATACTTAGGAGTCACTTTCGACTCGCGTATGTCATTTACTACGCACATTAATAACGTTCGTAATAGAGCCGCGTTCGTCTCCGGCCGGCTACACAATTTAACTAATGCTAAAAGTAAAATGCCCTTAAGGCACAAATTATTATTATATAAGACCTGCGTACGACCTATTATGTCCTACGCATGCATGATCTTCGCCCACACGCACCCTACTCGCTTGTACAAGTTGCAAATAGTACAAAATAAGTTTATCCGCCGCGCAACCGGTGCGCAGTGGTATCAGCGCAACGTCGACCTGCACAGCGATTGCAGACTCCCGACGATTCGCACACGTTTTAAAGATTTGACAAAACGGTTCTTCGATAGAGTCCAGCATCATCCCAACCCTCTGGTGGTAAGCGCAGCAAACTACCAACCGGACACTAACGCGAACGTAAACAAGCGTCGCCCGCGAAACGTCCTCATCGACCCGATCGACCAGTGTGCAGCGAGACGTTGAACCGAGCGTACGCATAGTCAACTTCGTAGCAATAACACTAGTTATTTTTTTTTACAAATACCCACATAATTTGTTTTTATGAAAAATGGAGGATGATTCGAGTGGAGAAGATTTAAGTGACTCAGCAATCTTGAAGAAATGTGAAAGAGAGTTAAATGAATTAAGGAAGAGGGAGGAGACGATTATGCTAAGTGGAAAAAGTGTTGAGGGAGAAATTCGGATGGCAGAAAAAAAAAAAGATCGAGAGGATGACCATAGCGAAGATGACTTTATTACTGTGAATAGAAGGGGGCCCAAACGTTTGATAAGGAAGGAACATATAGAAGTGAGAAGTAAGGAAAACACCCGCACATCCGAAATATTAAATAATCATGAGGTTTGTGTTACACAGCTGTGAATAATTTACCTAAACCAATAGCATTAGCGAAATTGCTTCGATCAGAAAATATAAAAGACATTTTAAGAATAAA